CTCTCTCTCTCTCTCTCTCTCTCTCTCTCTCTCTCTCTCTCTCTCTCTCTCTCTCTAACACAAGATCGTAAATATAATTAGAATGCTGCTATACATGTATACACACACATTTATACACGTCATATACAGTCAAGTAAAAGTCACAAACGATGAACAGGTGAAATAATCTTTTGTTAGGTTTATCCTAATCGCGTACAAATTTTTTTCAAATAAAATAACTGATTAAAAACCGCGACCACATGATGCGTATATATGAGCGATCTAATCTTTATGTAATTGTAAAAAAAAGCATACACAAATCGTACTCGCAATAAATAAATTATAGCGCACAGTCACGTGTGTGTATATACGTGCACGCACAGGTGTGTATACGACATATATGCGGTATGCGCAATCGGGTGTATTAATATTGTCCGGTGTGCCCGCACTCGGCCGTGAAAATTCTCCCGGTAATATGCAAGAAACATAGTTTCTCGTTCACACGACTAACAATACGTTCCGGTCGCTTTGTTTCGCAAAAGAACGGGAAGAACTGACGGGTCGTATGACGTGAGATCTTTATGTAAGCGTGGATGCGCCGGACAACATTAATACACCTGATTGTACATGCATATGTGTGGAAGTTCGTGCCTGCCTTCATCGTGCACAACTCTCGACCCCACCTCAGCGTGTCCTACCGCTGACGTCCCACCTCTACCCGTCGTGTCCCATGTCATACACCTTGATTTCGTACATTGTACACCTTTCGGGCTCGCGGGTATGAGACACGCCGTATCACAGCAGGTATGTGCGCGATTCCACTTGTTTTCTCGTCATTTTTTTACCGCGCATACCTTATCGCAATTGTTGTTATCATTGCTGCTGGTTCCTATTTGGGCGCGCTTCATGAAAATCCAAATTACACGGACGCGCGTCAATTCGTCATCCTGCTTCAACGATCTAGCAAGTTTGTACGTTTTACGCGTTGGTACTGTGGCACAGTACGCGATTTTCTTGTATATCGTTCGATCTGGATCATTCGTTAAATACATGGAATTCTCATTAATTTGCTTTCACGTCGAGACACTTTGCGATGATGATGTCGATGACATCTTCGCGCCTTCGATTTCATGTCCGGACACTCCCTAATTTTAAGCGAACAAATCAGTACATATGCAGTATCGCGATGAATGTTACTGTCTAGTTATGTGTTGATAACGAACTAATTAAGGGTTGAGAATATATGCGACAATGGCCTTTGCGGAATTATAGGTCTTGTGCAATTTAACATTAAATGCCAAAATATGTTTTGTCAATAATTGTTAATCGCTAGAAGTTGACAAAGAAGCTTATATAATACAGTTATTTTTTATGGTTTGATACAAATCACATAACATCCTTGATTCGTTTATTGTTATTGTAGTCATGAATTCTGAAGACACAATTGATAATGCAACAGCAGCAGCAGCTAGTCCTTCTGGTGTAGCTATGAAAACAAAAAATTGGGTCCAATTTGAGGAAGAGCCAGGTCCAAAGGAAACTACTGATGTGGAGAGGAAAACTAACAGCGGCACACCAGCTGTAATACAACCTGAGTCAGTAACAGTGCAAGTTGACAAGATTAATAAAAGTATTGAGCAGCCTGATATTAATGATAAGGAAACTAATGAGTATAGAGGTGCTGTGATAGCAACTGAATCCGTCCAGATTAATTTAGATAGATCAGGTTTAAACCGATCTATCACGTCCGATACTCCAGATCTTAAATTATCACCTGATGTTAGAGCAGCTGAAGCCAAAAGTGCTTCTTTAAAAACTATTGATCTAAGAGATACGTCTAATGGTAGAAGCACATCGAGCAATGTTATCAATACGTCTATTGGAAACATCAGACAGGGTTTTGCGAATGGTGATACTATTGTTACCCTTTTACCAGTAAATACCAGATGGCCATGGATTACTCCAGCCAGATTTAGACCAGAATTAGTGCCAGAAGAATTAATGGCACAGGGACTAACGGTGTGTAATTTTCAATTATATATTTTAACATATTATATAATGATATAGTATTCTTCCTCAACAATTATTAATATATGCTTGATAAATATGTAATTGATGACAGACAGAAATGTAGTGTATAATTTTTCTTCTGCGTGCATATAAATATTTGATTGGATATAAATTTTCAATTTCATACTTAATAGAAAGTTTGATGTTTGAAGAGAGTTACAAGGTATAATTTGAAATATTAAATTAAAATACTTCCAGAGTAGAAATATCTTACTTTAATTTTACTTTTTTAATCTATTTAAAAGAAAGTTATCAATATTCTAATATAACAGATATATATTGCAGCTCACAGTGGAAGATTATGTTCACATAATGGAATTACTTGTAAACGACGTACGTTTTAACATGTATAATGTATGCTACAAGAGGATTCTTGTCCTTTGGATATTCATCGCCTTTGTTGTATTACTCGGTCTGCTATTCTCTGGAGTGACTGGTCTTACTTTATTTGGATTTGGTGTCATGTGGTTGGTCCTGAATGCAGCTGCAATATTTGTTTGTATGTTCATCAAGATAAAGCTCAATCATAATCTCGAAAAATGTATGGCTCAAGTTAATAAACATTTATTGAGGCATAAAATATTACTGGGATTGGACGATAGAGGGAAGATCTCATGCCACAAAGTCAATCTGTGTTTTATATACTTTGATACTGCCGACTGTGTTGTAAGTACTATTTACAATTCTCGATCGAATCATTTGTTCGAGTCCTAATTTCAGTTCATATTTTTTCAGTCGATTTTATTTTCTTTTGAATAGTAATAATGTGATGAGACAAAAAGTAATACTGTATGCATGTACATACACGCATGTGTATACACATACATGTTCCTATGCATTGCAATATACGAAAATTAAATTTAATAATATTTGTGTGCCAGAATTGTGTTTTCAAAATGAAGATAATTTGGAGTAGTTTGACAATTAATTATATAATTGTGCAAACACATACCCACGAAAATAATATAATGATTTTATTTACAACAGAAAAAGCTACAGGAAGTTATAGAAAGAGAAGAACGGGAAGGTAGAGTAATCGGTGGTGCTGATGACGCGAGCGAATTAAGTCGACAACGAGAATTACAACAGCGTATGGATATTGATGACAGTGACATTGTTATACAAGGCAGCACTACTACGAGAATATCTCGTAAACAGGTAAACTGTTCCCTAATATGTTCTCCTTTGTTATCTCATCATATGTTTTTTTATATATTTAATATTATAGTTCCAAAATTTCTCTTCCTTTATTATTTTGATTCTTTAATTTTTTTTTAATTTCATTTATAACTTATTTTTAATATATAAGATTTTTTATATATGCATATTTTATTTTGGCTGAAATATTAAGAAGGTAAAAACAGAACACTATTGTTCCGCTATTCGTAAGTATCAATGTGCAAAGTAATGCAAAAATTGTGAATTTAGGTTTATCCTTTTTCGTTACACAGTTGATGGTTAGTGCTTTCTTCTTTCTACAAAGCGTAAACATTTATTCATCTTGTTTTAAATACAGAAAGTATAATGGTGTAGATGAGGAAAAATATCCCCGCGTGTGGCCTATTAAACACGATTCGCAACTATGATTTCCACAATATCTATTCTTCTATAAAATATCGATCGATGTGCTAAATTTGTCGTGTTATCGACTGCGATAAGTTGTATTAAACATTTATTATATATTACATTGCAATCTACTAGGGTAAGAACGAACAAGTATTCTGCCGTTATGTGCAACGTTGGGCGAAGGATTACTTACGTCGACGTTTGGATTGGACAGTTGACGAAGAGGGTGGAAATCCTTCTTCGCCTCGTCACTTAGCATCCGCTCTGTGTCCATGTCAATATATAGAGGAATGGTTACGTAATAAGCCACGCGTTCAGGGCCGAGACTTTTGTCCTAGATGGAGTAGCTTTCTGAGAGATAGAGGCATTTAAAAAGAGTATTGTTCTATATCTCAAAAAGAAGTTTATATAAACAGATTTATATAAATTTTATTGCATATGTGTGTGTTTACGCACAGAAGTTATATAATTAATGATGCTCTTATTTTATGTTGTTATAACAACATATAGCAACTTTTTTTCAATGTGCTCTAAATGCAGAACAATATATATAGGGTTTTTAAAAATATATAAGAAAAATCTTTACACATTTACGGGTGTGTAGTAAGTTGGACATTTAAAAAAAGCAGCTTTAAAAGAAAACTGCTGGTTAATTTTATCAAATTATGACTTATATTATTGCACGTAGTTTAGAAAGTTAACTATAATTTATATTTATAAAAATGGCCATTTTTTAAAGTATATATATACAACTAAATCGCACAATATATAATATAAATGCATATAAAAAAATATAAGCTTTAAATCAGGCTTCGTTACGTTAAAAAGTTTTAAAGACATTTTATACATTCGAATTGCTAGTGAATGTGATTGAAGCTTTTCAATACACTAGCAGATATATTGACGCAGTTGCTTTTTTATATCTCGATCATTTTTTCCTATTATCGTATTTATAATTTCTTGAAAATTACGTTTATAAATCTTGTGTCATTTATATCTATTTAATCTGTTTAATTGTTTTAAATGTACTTAATACTTTGCTTTATATTAAAGGAATATTAAAGTATACAAATAATTATATAGTATGACATGATAAATACTCTCAATTACATGCACTGGTTAAAATTGGCATAATTTATACTATTTGATATAATTTATTGGTATAACTTATATTGTATTAGTATAATTTATTTTAATAATTTATATTATATAGTATATATTTATATTTTGCCAATTTCAATTTTCCATGTTATAGACATGGTAAACCATGTTATAGATATGGTAAAAATGTGCCTTAATTATCATATTTTTATCTGATAAATAAATACAGAAATAATTTCTGTATTTACGGCATCAAAACTATATCACTTATTAAATTTCAATTTTAATCATGTTTGCTAATATAGTTTATTGATAGTTTTCCACTTTCAAGTGGAAGCTCGTGTTTGATTCATTCCACATTTATTGAAAATAAATTCTAACTTAGTATTAAATCTGATATAAATATGGCCTTGGTACTTAATAAACTAAAGATAATCTAAATAATATGATAATCTTTACTTTGACAATCTATTATATATACATAATTCCATTAAAAAAGAGTATTTTTTATATAAAAATAAAGAACAATAGTCAATTATATGTATAATGTGCATAGATATGTAATTGACTCTTATTGACCTTTATTCTTATATTGTTTAATTTTAATCAAAAATTTTCCCACATATATCGTATATCTTTGAGACATACATGTTGTGTGGGTTACAATCATTTACTTCCGTATTACTTATATGATATCGATAAATTTTATATATATAAGCCTATTAACACATTCTTAAAAATCATGCTTTATGTTCTTATATATTTCGGGAACTATCGTTAAATTCTTGCATATTAAAGAAATTCTTAAAATTTTTACAATTATTTTTAATTATAATCTTAATCACAAATATATTATTGACATTGTATAAAGAATATTTTAAAAGACATACCTCTGAAATGGTGAACATATGTCTTTTAATTAATAATGAGCATCATAAATTTTATAAACATGCTATAATTTTTCATGACATCATCCAATTTTTTAGATATAATAGCATAACTAATTCCCATTATATTACATAATTTACACACAAAATTATATGTTATTTATAAGATCTCGTTATTGTAATTTCACATAAGTTAAATCGTTATTATAGCCGATAAAAGTTGCGAGTTATCTAAAGTATTGTTTGTTTACCGTGATTGCTTTCAAAAAGATACACTTATCATTATCACGTCAAGCCTATGGGAGCTATTGAATGATGATGGTGTGTGTTGACAGGAACGGGCGGAGTTGCTGTTGCTGAGGTATGCGTCTCGTTGGGCACGTCACTTTGTGCGTCGCAGACTTGATCTGGTTATAGACTCACAGGAACGCGACAGAGGCGTCACAGGTCTGTCTGTTCCACCGCGTCATTGTGTCTCCGCCCGTTGCCCCTGTCAATTCATTGAGGACCATCTCAAACACAAGCCCAGAGGCAAGTTGACGTTACGCAAATTCTTTATAATGCCAGACTTCACCTCTAGATGACTGCCAAATGGAATTTTCTTGATATGATTTATCAAAGAGAATTTTAGAATTTCTTACAATAGAAATCCTAATGAAAACTACGTGTTCCTGATGTCTTCGACAAACATAATATCATGTGTTTAAATCATCATGTATTACACGATAGCTTATTCAATTTGCGTATTCTCAAAATTGTAATTTTTTAACGTAATGAATAGTTATGGTGATAAAGTCTAGAGATGATCATTGATGTTATATTTTCAGTAGTTGTACTAATATATTTTGTTGTTATATAGTAGTTTCGCGATAAAACGGGATAATTATAGACATGAAAAAAGAAAAATATTAACAATGAGAAATTTTAGCATTAAAATTTATCAAAAATGTAATCATCCAGGTAGTCAAACCTGCAAAAGCAGATTTTATGTAGTGCCTGCAACAAACTTTGTCAGCTATTTATTGGTAGAAATACAACAGGATTTCATGACAGAATATGATGACAGACTGACGGCAGAAATCGAGCAGAATCTGTCGTTCTGATGTTTTTAAATAGAAATACTGTAGATTCCGTTCGTTTTCTGCCGTCAACTGCTGTTAGATTAGGCTCTCTCTATAAAGCAACAGCAAATTGCAGACACAGATAACTATGGATCTATTGATAGATGCTACTCAATCTGTCACCAATCTATTGTCATCAATCTATTGTCAAACTCTTAACAGATTACTTACTTATTAGTTAATCAGATAAATGAGGTAATCGTATTACTGTCATTATTTTTGTTAATAAAATATACAAATTTTCTTCTGAGTAAAATTTGTTGATGCAGTGATTATTACAAGTAGAAATTGTGTTATGTTACATTCCACATGCTAATTAACAATATATTGAAAAATTAATATATTCATGATGCATTTAACACAAGATACTTAATGCAACACAGAGATATATTTCTTATAGTATATTTTTTATTTGTAATCTCATATATATATATATATATATATATATATATATATATATATATATATATATGACTGCTTTTTATGTATTATATACATATTCACATTATCATTTATATTCAGCTTCGCTTATCTATCATTACATTCTTGAAAATTTATTCACGCTATTATGGCTTAGATATTGATGAATCTTTTAAAGCAACATGTTTCATCATATACACTATATCATTATATCATTGTATTATTTTGTATCAATTATTTCATTTCAATTATTTCATCACACTTTTGAGATTATACAAATTCTGAAAGTAAAAAAGAATCTCTGCTTAAATCTTTAGTTATTAATTCGTCTTAGAATGTGACAATATTAAGATATTGTTAAAAATATGTCAATTTAAATTAAATGAGATTGTTCACCATTTTGGAAGGTATATAATATCTATTTTTGTCTTCTGATTTTAAGATATATGCAATCTGCGCGATTGTATTTAAACACGTTATTAATATATATTACTTAGATGTATTATTGCTATTATCAGGATTTGTAAGTCTCTCTCTTATGGAGTAGTAGTATGATTAAATAAAGAATAGCATCTTCGGTGCCGTTTGTGTCTACTTTACTGCTACTTCTGAATTTAAGAGACAGACATATTTTAATCTTTACCATTATGTTTACCATAAATATATAAATTATATATAACATTATTTAAAAAAAACCAATTAAAGAGAAAGAGAGAAAAGTAGTATACTATTTGTTTTGTAGACACAAGATATATCAGTATATTACGCACAGATATTATATATATTATTTGAATATTATAAATTTTCTTATTAAATATGTATTTTTTTTAATTAAAAGAATAACATACCCAAAAAGACAATAAGTAACTATTAACTGCGCATATCTGAGAAAAGTATTTGAATTTCTTTAGAAGCTAAGAAAATTAAGAGTATTGCAATACATACAAGTATGCATATAACGTTGCTACATATATGGATATATTACTTTATTTTCTTTAATGTAATCGTTCATATGTAGTATTACTGATTATAATGAAAATATTATCGGAAATAAATATTGTATGGAATAATCCATTAAACTGTAAGATATTGTTATAAAAACAAAATTAGTAATACAGTTTAGTAGTTAACATCACTATTAGTGATTTTAAATGTAATCGATATTATACGAGGTTTGAAGTTGCATATCAATTATGTCCGTCCTAAAAAATTGGCATAGATATAAGTGCTGTAGTTAATATGTAACATATATACTTTTATATATATATATATATATATTTTATATATATATATATATATATATATATATATATACACACATATACATATATATTATGTATACAGAATACTTATTCCATCCTTATTGCAAAAAAAAGAGAAAACTGTAATTGTACAGAGAATCGACGATTTTTATATACAAAATGTATAACACTTTTATATGGTTGTTAAAAATGTTATGGAATAAAGATATATTACATATGTCTATTTTTTATCATGTTGTGTTTCTGTGTAATACAGTAAAATGAATATTGAATGTAATGTTTCTTCTTTTTGTAGCTTATAGAATTTCAAACTTCGTACTAACTCTTGCGTAATGCCCATCGTATGTAACTAACACACTAATTTTGAGGGATTACTTGCATGCAGCCGGACGGAAGATGATGAGTCTCGGTATATTACCTCATCCGCACATTATCAGCACATAAAAAGATAATCTTTAATATCATGTAAGTATTACACATCTAATGAGTTAAATAACAAATAAAAATAATTTTAACATCCTAAACAAGAACATATAAAATTTTGTGTTTTATGTGTTAAAACTTATATGTCTTATGTGTTATATAATAGCATATTTTGAAGTTTGGCTACATTTTTCAAACCCTAATAAACTATTAAACCTAATTGCATTTCACATAGGTAAAGGAGAATTAACTTTTATTTTGTAATAATAGCTCATTATTTTTGGTGTAACTATATACATCCAATTTATTAATCAGTCCTTCTATTTCTCATATTTCAATAAAGAAATTTTATTATTGTTATTTGATGAATTTTGTAATAATTCGGCAAAAGACTCTTTCTTCTATCGCCTGGTAGCTTCTATCGCATTTGTGGCTGTTTGTGCATCTAATAACACTTATAAGAAACAGAAAGAAAATTTTACTAACTTACTAGAATTTGCCAAATTGAAAACATATAATTTGATGTAAATTTGCTTGTAAATTAAAATTTTCAGACGAGTAGTTGGCTGTGATCCTACGTTTGCATTTTCAAAATTTTCTTTTAACTTAAAGGAAAAGATATAATATCATATAGAAAATCGATTTTTATTTAATTTCAGACAGATTTGTCCCTTAATTAAATGCTGTACTATGCGGCACTCTTCAAACTTCTATATTTCAGTCTGAAGAAAGTAAGACTTAAATATTGTCATATGTTCAATTGTAAATTTTTTTAGATATTATATTTATATTATATCTTTATACTATCTTTATTCTAATCTATAACAATATACTTTTCATAAAAAATATGTGATAAGTGAATTATATATAATAGAATGTATTACATTTGTATTTTATTATTATTGTTATTTTATTTGTTTTTTATTATTATTACTATATACTAACAAACTTAACTTTTTCAGGGTATCCACCAGGTTTTACATGGTGTGCCTACCTTAACGAACCTGTAATTCGATTTGATATGGTACCAAATGTGTCCCATTAAAAGTTTAGTAGTTTCTGCCCTGTTACATGATCGTGTAACAGTATTAGTTTGCGTTTAGAATTAAATTTACCTGTAGACGGACGAGCTATATGTCAAAACAAAAATACTGTTACATAGATAGAATTAATTAGTTCTTTAATTATAATGATTTTTATATATATAGTTTATATAGAACATCCTCTGATATTGCGTCACAAATTTTTCGTTCTTTTACACATTTTCTTTAGAATATCTACTTAAACAAAAATTATTACAAGATTTTATAAGAGTATATATATATATATTTTTTATCATTTATATTTTTTGATATACAGCATATATGTGATTACTGATCCAGTTAATTTACAATCTTTGATATGTCGCACATATACAGAGATATGATTAGATTATTATCTGTTAAATTATTGTAGAAACCTTATTCAATCTCTATGCAAGCTATTTCAAAAGACAGTAAGATAATTTTATGGAATGGTTATGCGCGACAGTATTTAAGTATAAGTATCACTAACAATAACACAAATGTATTTTTATTGTATACGGAACAATTATATATAGAACTACTTTTAAACAAGTGGCACTTTGCAATCTTTATCGCTCAAAGAGTTGTAGAGAATTATTTATGAGATGTGTAAATTTTTCAAATTTACGTGTAAATTCAGACTTTGGGAAAGTATAGTTTTTTCATCATATAAGGTGAACTAAAAAAAATAGATTAAATATGTACAATTCTCTTTATCCAATCCAGTTATCACAACAAACTTTTACTTAAAAGAATTTTTGATGATTCTTTAACTAATCAAGATAATTGGATGGTCCCTATTAACTGAGCTACTCTGTATATAAAACTATAATAAGTAATTCATAAGTTTTTACACAAAAGGTAACAGAGAAAATCATTCCATCTTTATAATATACAACATTTGCCGTGTGATAAATGTGATCAATTATAAATGTAATATCATGTTTCAATAAGTAGTGCTAGATGTTAAGTTGTTATTGTGCCTTGTCATAAATTTTGTTGATAGCTTTACAAAATGTTCTGTATCATTAAATAATTCGTGTATCAACCATTTGGTACACCAACATATCAATGTTGAGAACAGAAAAAAATTATCAAAAAATTATTTTGTCATTAAATATTTATTATACACTGTATACAGTGATACTCTATTATTTAATAATACCTTGTACCATAGAATATGTTCTTTTAATCATATAATATAAATAATAAGATAAATTTATTTTTAATAAATATTTATACATATATTTATAACAATATTATTTACTCTAAAAGTTCTATAGCTTTACAAGGAATAGTGAAATATTTAAATTAAAAATCAGTTGAGTAAAATTTTGAGATCCCATGCAGCATAAATGTTCAATAAATATCCTAAGAATATTTGAATATTCTTAAAACATTCTTAGGATATTTAGTGAACATTTGCTATATGGAATTATATATATAATTTCAAAGATATAAAATGACATCCAAGATAATATTAATATATTTATTATTCATATGTTATTAGAGCAGCTTCAGCCTGCTTTCTAATATCATCTGCTAATTTCCTTATTTCCTCGTTATTTGTCTGCAATTGCTGTTCTTCTTTCTTCAAAGTACATTCCAATTGCCTCAATTGCTGTTTAGTATTTAAATAAGCTTTGACTTTCTTATATATGTCATCAGAATTATTAGTGCTTGATAAACCATAAGATTCCTTTATACATAAATCATCTGAAATTATATTAATGAGTATATCATTCAGTAATATCCAGATAGAAAAAATATGTTTACCAAACAAATCAATTTAAAAACTTATATTAAATCTCTAAGGTTAAGTAATAAAAAAGTATTATGCTAAAATCTTTAAAGAGAAATTTTTGAGTATATAATTAAATAAAACGACACAATTTTCTTATATATTACATCTTCCTAAATATGATTAAAATGAATTTATTAGTAGATTTATTTTAATCTAAAAAGAAAAAGATATCGCATATTTACTTATGATTTTAAACGCAGAATCATCCACAACAGCATTATTGAGATCTTCCAACATATGTTCTTGACTTGGTAAAAGCGGTCTTGGAGGTATACTGTTTTTTTTATTACTGAACATCATTACACTGACATACACATAAAAATATTTATTTGCCTCTTCCAGTTTCGACTGTTGTTATTAGGTTAGGTTTTGACCAATTCTACCCAACGATCGCGTCGACGCAGGACGTCATTTTGTTTTTGTTTAATATCTAGTGAGAAACAAGGATAGAGAATGACGTTCATGGTCAAGTGGAACTCTTACTCCAAATAAATTATAATACGACTCAGCTACATATTAGACCTTTTTTTACTAAACATGAATAATAAATAAAATTTAATGGTTTATAACATCCACCAAAATAATAAGGTGACTCGAAAGACATTTTGCAATTTGAAGTCTCTGCTTTCGAAATATATTTTTGGATATAAAATTTAAATAATTTGTATAGAATTATACGAATGTATATAAATTAAAATTCGTCAAACATTAAAATTTTTATAATTTGTCGAGTTGTATCGCGTAAAGTAAAAATTATGAATAAACAAAATTCACGTTACTCGACAACATGAATCTTCCCCTTTAATTTATATACTCGCAAATTTTGTGATTTTTTTTCCTTCAAAGTTATTTAATGTTGAAGCAAAAATTGTATTTTAACTTTGATCGCTCATAATAGGCGAAGGAATCGACATACGACGTTCACTAACTAGTGAAAAAGAAATTAAAAGTTTTTTCTTTGTGCATGTATTAAATTTTTCATAGAAATTATTGCTCCGTGTAAAACCTGAATCGAAAATTGGATAGTCGTCACTTTTCATTTAACTAGATGTCTTAGAAATAAATAAGAATATAAAAATTATAAATTTAATAAGCCTGAAAAGTGTGTGAAGACTTCAAGATTTATAATGATTTTTTAACCATCTTGTTACCTTCATTTTTATGGAAGTAGTAGAAGTCTACAGCCATAATACAAGATCTATGTAAGAAACAAAGACCTAAAACACAAACTGATTAGGATTATAGTAAAATATTTATTATGTTACAACATGTAAAATAAGCCTATTAAGTTCATCTTACCTGATCAATATTAAATTATGATGGATATATTTTGTAAAACATCTTACATAGTATTAAAATATATGAATCAAATACATACACACGATAAAAAAGTAATTATTTGCATATTAATGCTTCCATTTGTAAGAAGAGTTTCTACTATGACATCTCTGTGCATCATAGAACATAATCCAATATTCATTACAAATTAGCATAAAGTATTACAGGGCAATGATCACTGCCATACACCTGCTTCCTTATAATATTATCGCATACTTTATTCTTGATCCGTTCTGATACCAAGAAATAGTCAAGTCTCCTATATGCCAAAAATTTTTTATGAATGATGTAAACTATTTTTTTGCACATTATTATATATGCGTAAGAATAAGTTATAATTGAAAAATTATAAATCTAGTATTATCCGAATATTTAGTCTGTCTTTATGCTCTATGTATAAAACAGTTTTAATAAAAATAATACTTACCATCCAATATCTTTATTGCGCGAATTGGCGAAATATGACCAGAATGTATACGCGCCTTCCGTATCAGGATATAATGCCCTAAATGTATCTATAAATCCAGCAGCTAAAAAGTCAGTCATACCATCTCGTTCTTCTTTGGTAAATCCAGCATTTTTAGCATTAGTTTTTGGATTTTTTAAATCTAGAAAAAAAAATAATTGCAATTTACTTTTTTTTATTGTATAGTGATCATTATTATTTTATCTAAACAGTAGAAATTTAAGAATATGAAATTAAAATTAACAATAATAGCACCTATTTCTTGATGAGCCACATTCATATCACCACATATAATAACAGGTTTCTTTTGATCCAATTCTTCAATATATTTCTTAAATATCTTGTTCCATTCCAATCGTTTTGGTAGTGTCACTAGTTTCTGTCCAGCATTTGGTACATCTATTGTATTATATTTCATATTTTATTGTTATATCTCTCAGAAATATATATAAAAATTCATGTCTACATCACATAAGATTCTGGAATATATCTAATTTCCCAAATTATAGAATAATAAATTTTTAATAAATTTAATAAATTTTTTACAAAAATGTAAACTGTTACAGAATAGTATAAATACAATATTATCTCTTGAGTTACTTATTAATATATAACTTACAAATATTGACTATGAAAAATTCTGGAAATTCTGCAACAATCATTCTCCCCTCACTGTCAAGTTCAGAGTTGTTTAAACCATATTTCACAGAAATTGGCTTTTCCTTACAAAACAAAGCAACTCCACAATAACCTGATTTTTTACCTATTAAGAAATATCTATTAATAACATTATTCATACAATATAGATCTGTAAAAATATCTTACTGTCAAGAAAATAATGATGATATCCAGATAGTTTAATTTCATCTGGCATTTTATCTTTATCACATTTTGTTTCTTGCAAAGCTACAATATCTGCATCTTCCTTTGCAATGTAATCTATTCCATTTTTCTAAGTAAAAATACATATTACTTAAATATTGTAATAGATAAAATTATTATAAGTTTAATAAATAGATTACGAAAAACCAACATACTTTAATAACAGCTCTGATTCCAGAAACATTCCAAGTGCAAATTTTTAAATTGTATTTTTTTCCTTCTTCATTTGACTTCATACAATCAAAATCTATCTCATTCAAATTTGTATCGGTTTTATTCAGTATCTGTTTGGGTTCATCCTTTCCTTTCTTTATAGCAACTGGTTTGGTTTCATTATTCGTTTTCTTGGATTCCTTTGATTCAGTTTTTGCCTTCTTTGATGCAGGTTCATCACTTGCATCAGTTACTCGCTTTTTTTTTGAAGTTTCTTTTACATCTATCTTTTTTTCAGATTTAGCTTTAGAGGAATCAGCCTAATATGAAGAAAAATTAATATATCTTTTTTCATATACTGCAAAGTATCATAAATAATACTGTGTTCATTAAATTTAAAAATGTTATAGTTATTTTCTGTATATTTTGTATACAGAAAAATTAATATTTTTTAATATATTTATAACACAATATTTTTATCATATTTAAATATATAAAGTAAAATATACTACAATAATATATTCATTTATATGTATTCAGAAAATAAATTAATCTTATATACATTTATACCTTTGCTTTTGCAGTACGCTTTGGTGGCATAGTAAAGTCTTCTTCTTTGCGAAAAGTAGATGCTATAAAAGTATAAAAAATATAAACATTTTCATAGAGACAACAGCTCCCAAATTGTAAGTGCTCGTACAGATAATTTTGTAATTCATAAAAATTAGAAATGTTTAATTGTTAATCTGTTTCTTAAATATATATCATACAAGTTTTGTATATAAAACAATTTTTTTAATTCAGATACAATTAATAATTACATAGTCTAATTACGTCTAATTGCGTTTACTGGCACTTGGCTCATTAACTTACAAGTTCGTTCTTCTTAACTAAGAAAGAAGCAATATCAGCTTGCTTTTTTACGATACTAATGATATTTCTTTTACAAATCCGAGAAATAGTCATATACGTGATCGCAAGAAACCGGATTAGGTGACTGATGTAGCTTTGTCTATGCACGTTGACTGCGACTTTAAATTTAGTGCCATTTATAGGATTCATGCCCGTTTCTACCAACTTTGTTAAACTTAACCGGTTAGTTATTTCAACGGAATTGACCAATCACATTTCTCTTTGTCAGAATTAACAGATGCGATTGGTCAATTTTGTTGGAAGGACAAACCGGTTAAGTTAACCAAAGTTGGTAGAAACGGCCATCAGTACCATAATCGCTCACTGAGCGCTCAATGAGCTTTTGCATTTGATTGGTGTATTATTTTAGGTCTAAAAGAATATGCCAATCAGATGCGAGAATTAACTAAACGCTCAGTGAACAGGTATAAAGTCCGGTTTATGATGGCCGTAATCCGTTAATTTATGCCAGAACCGTAAAAAATTAACCAATTATAGTCGAATTATAGAAGAATAATCGACTGTAATTGATCAATTTTTATGGTTCTGGCATAAGTTAACGGATTACAGGAATCATAAACCGCCTTTAAGTCTGATTTACAATAGGTGTAGTAAGCTTTAAGGCCAAATCACACTAACGATTGACGATAGATGATTGACGATTGAAGATTGGAACTTGACCAATTGGAACAAAGCAAGCCAAGGCTGAAGCTTGTTGATTCGTTAAAATCTAATCTTTAATTGTCAATCGTCAATCGCCAATCGCTAGTGTGATTTGCCTTCAAGCCGTAAGAAATTGATCAATCACGATTGATTATTTTTCTATAATTCTATTCTTTTTTAAACAGCTTCCTAAACTAGTATACACTAGTACGATAAGTTAAAGTGAAATAAGTGAAGTGAAGAATATTTTGTTTTATTCTAATTTATTGCACTAGTATACACTAATTTAGAAAGTTCTTCAAAAAAGAACAGACCATTTGTTTTGATGAATTTTAGGATATATAGTATTCGAAGTTCTCTTTTAAATGAGTCTCTAAAAATGGTTTATAAGCTTTCTGATTGGCTATGAGTCACTTTGAGGCTATGAGAGACTTATTTATCGTTAAAAGAGAACTCAGAATACGGGTTAAAATATCCAATAAAGGCTACGTTCCGAAATTCACTGCTAGTACTGAAATGCTATAGTTCATGTCGGGTGTATATCAGTTGGACACGGGGCAATTGGACACAGTCCAATCACAAGTCGCTGTTCCAAGGGACCCTACAAATGTCTCTAATCATACGGTGCTGTGATTGGCTGTGTCCAAATGCACCGTGTCCAAGTGCACCGCTCCCGTTCATGTCACGTATACTATAAAATAGCACTAGCAATGAATTTCGGAACTTAACCAAGAAAATACGTTATATAGGGAAAAACACCTTGTGGCTGCGCGTCGCTTTTTACATCCATATTTATATGTTGGCAGCAATGTGACAATTGACAAGAAAGAAGAATCGGCCGACGAACGGGGAACCTGTTGTTCGTAGGAGACGGAGGAATGTAGATACGCCGCGAACGCGAATGCCATCATGAACACCAAAACAAATCTTCAACATGCGTCAAATTCGTACAATGGAGGTAATTTCACTTTGATTGCGTTAAATTTTAAATGTATTATTCTCGAATCGCTATTGCCCAGACGGGAAAATTGCGCGTATTTTACTTGGATAGACAGTAAATTGAAAAACCGTCTGCTGGGCGTCCTTATGTGGCGTCTGCTATTAAACTAAAACAACTTTATATACGAGTGTAGAGATCATATTGATTCTTCATAATGAACCATAACAAACTGATTGTCTTAATTTTATTAATCATACAGAAATGTAAATATAAAAATATTTTGATCACTGATAGATGATTTATTATCATTTTGACATAGATATATATTGGAAAATTCAAATATTTCTTTATATATAGATTTTTTTAATGATATGAAATAAAAAAGTGAAAAACTGCTCTTGATGAATAAAAATTGAAATTTTACTTAATATTTTGCCAAATTTAACATTAAATTTTATAAAAATGTTTTCTTCATTATATAAACATTTCATATTTTTTTCTTAAAAAATTAATTTTCTTATAGTTAATAAGTAGTTAATATTAAATTAAGAATGCATAAAAGCAATTGAACTCATAAATATTAATTGTTCTAAATATTGTTATAGATACTATAGGTAGAGACAGTCCATCAGCATTATTGGATATGCTTGCTGAAGTTGCATCTCAAACTCTACATTCAGAAAAGAAGCGTATTAATTCACTGCTAGCGTCGAATGCAAATCGTGTCGACTGTCAATGCAAACCTAAAACAACTAATATGAAACGGAAAGAATTATACTTCACAGTACCTCAACTTTTATCTATGTCTGTTTCCCATCTTGTTAAGCAGTTTACTATTTTTACAAGCGACGAACTCAAAAGGCTTTATTCTTATACTTGTGCATTAGTGCCTGAATGCCAACAGAAATATACCAGTTTTGCTAATGAAGTAAAGGCAAGGACATCTATTAAGAATCATTTAGAGGAACATTTAGAATATTTCAAAACAGACAAAGTGGCCTGTACGTAAATATTTATAATTTTGTTCTATTTTTATATTTCTAATGCAATTACTGCTTTCTTTGTTTACACCTATTTACCTATTTGCTAATTTTTTCATAACAAGCTAGTTTTTTCATAACAAGAATTTTATAAGATGTTTCCTTCATATTATTTTTCACGTTTCAACTTGAAATTTAATTACAAATTGATTAAAAAAAAATTTATAAATAACATAAGAATTTTGATATATCTTATATTTAGTAAATTATGTTGTATTTGAGAAGAGATTTGTAAAGAGATATTTTCCTTTATGCTTTTGTAGATGATACATTCACAGCAAGGAGTGTAAATCACAAGAATTTAAAAACAAATCTACAGAATAAGAAAAGTCGGGTGCAACAGACAAAGAAACCTCAAGAAACATTAAATAAGGAAAACAAAGATGTGATATTGGAAAAATCGACAAATTATTTACGAAAAATACTTCTTAATGATATTAATATTAAAGAGATTGAGAAACAGAAATGTTTTCAGAAGACAGAAAATAAGGATATGCATAATCCCGAATTAAAGAGTTCTGAGCAAATGGATTTTAAAGTTCTCGGCGATCATAGTTATTTTGAACGTTTAGATGATAAAATGTCCAATAGGAAAGAGATGTCATCTCTTAATAATGTTCTTGAGAATACAACAAGAGAAGAAAATGTTAGTATTGATCTGTTAATAAAATTTAACTACAATGACATGTAATTGAGATATATCTATCTTAAAATAAACATTGTAGGAAAAATTATATAATTTTACAAGTTTGTATTTCATTTTAGATTGTATTAATGGTTGTTGGCACTGATAGTGTACATATGGAAGAATATTCTCATGTTAACCAGAAATTATCAGAAGATGCAAAATGTCAAAATAATCCTCTTTGTTCACCAGGTCTGTTTAAATAATATCTAGATAGTAAACTGCGTTAATAATATAGTCTTATATTACCACATGTTCAAGCATATTTATTGTCAAGTACTAAACATTGTATTTATATACAGGCTTATCGTGGTCAAACGAAAGTCTAGTCAGAAACACAGAAGTATCTACAACAACCAAGCCAAAAGGAAAAGCCAAATTCATTGGCACGAGCAAGGAAGAAAGGGAAATGGCATTGGCGTATATGGAACGTATCAAGAAGAAGGGCAATCCTACAGGGAGCAATCTTCAATGTCGGATTTGCGACCCGCCTCGTACTTTCACAGCGCCTACAACTTTGGTGTCTCATTATCGAAGTCATGCTGGAATAAAACCGTACGAATGTCGAATATGTAGAGCAGTTTTTACAAGGAGACATAGCTTGAAGTACCACATGTTGATTCATCAAAATCAAACACGTTTCACATGCACGGATTGCGGGAAAAAATTCAGACATCCATCTCACTTCAAGGAGCATCAGCGTAGACATACCGGCGAAGCACCGTTCGGATGCGAAGACTGCGGACAACGGTAGGAATATTTTACATTATTTTTTGCAAACATAATGAAATACATAAGAAAACCCAATCAAATTTAGTTTCAGTATAAGTACAGTATAAATAAAAATTACAAAATGTTAGAGAAAGAGAGAGAGAGAGTTCATTACCAACGAATTCTTTTTGTACCATTATGTATATGTTCTATTAGATTTAAAACGAGAAACACTTACAAGCGTCATTTGAAAACACGGCATGGGAAAATTCTTACGACCACTGGTGAACTTTTGCATCTTCCCGAGGAAGACTTTCAAAAAATTCGGACGAATCGAAGAAGGAAAGATTGCGCTGCAGAGACCACAACGAACGCTGATTGTGTTTCGTCCAGCGCGATCATAAATTTCAATAATCAGCACAATGGAGCTCAAATTATAGAGGAGTATGTTCTGAAAGAGAATATTGATGACATTGACAGAAATTGGGAAACGAAAGGTACGATACAAGTTGTTGATAAATGCATTGAAAATTTTGAGATTTGTACAGAATCTCAGTTGAATAAGACTGACGGTACGGAGACTGAAATAAATATAGATTGTAAATACTCTGAGAGAGATGATAGCAATATTAAAATGGATTATATAAACGATGTACAAGATGATCTGTTACTTCTGAAAAATTCTTTTTACGATAATTTAGAAGCGGCTAATAATGAGGAAAATCATGTCGCTTATCAGCATAATTATGAAGATCAGAAAAAAGTTTACGATTGCAGCGAAGTAACACAATCATATACTGAGATAAATTGTAACAGTGAAACTTTGAAAGAAAGAGGAGACAAAAATATAACACAGCATGAAGTAAATATAGAATCCTCAAAAGAACAAGACAGTTATCATAAGATACTATACAACAATGGTATGCAAGAAGAACCCACGACCTATATGCATTTAAAAATAGAAGAAATGGAAGGTACAAATTCCAACGAAATTGATCAGATAAACAATGAAAAATATAACACACAAATTATTATCGCACAAAACGATACTGTTAGTGAAGGATCCGACAAATATGCTAATAATTTCGATATCGAGACTGAAGGATGTGCGAAAAACGAAATTTATTTGCAATCCGCACAAAGTTCGAATGTTAGCATCTTACAAACATTCAATAAAGTTAAAGGAGATATTGTTTCGCAAAACCAAGATATAATATTACAGCAAGATAGACATGTAAGCGAGTCTGAATCTATTGTTACTAAAACGTTAAATATAGAAAAGCTGAATGTTTCTTCGAAAGATCCTGTTGCGGCAAACAAAGAAATCGCAAAACAGGAAAATATGCAGTACTTATATCTCCGTACTGGAACATTGGACGATATAATTGCACAAAATAAATGTATAAACATACCTCTGCATCAAATAAATTTATATTGCGATCAGCACAACCAGTTGAAAGGAAAAGTAGATAACTGCAAGCAAATTAAAGTCTTAAACGGCGACATACAAACAATCAATATAGAGCAATCTGATAAACAAAATGCAATTTTGCTTGTATCCAACGATAGTTTACAGAATGGAATTCTACAAATTGACAAAGGTAATATTACTGTCAAGAGTATAAACAGATAGACACTGCACAAGTGTAAGTAACAATAATTGTACAGTAATATATTTAAAAAGAGTTTGATTTGTTAGTTAATATTTAATCACGCTATTACAGGATATATTTTATACTAACGTAGTAATGTTGGCAGAGGTATAATTGATTAACTAAAACACATACAATAATTATTTTAACATATAGTGATGCTAAAAGATCATGTCAAAAAAATGTCATGTTCTCTCACTTGTGTAAATATTCAAAGAAAAAAAAAATTGAACGGTTGTCTCTGCGTTTTTTGCTATGAAACATAATTAGCTAAATTCAAGAAAACGTGAAATAGACTAATAAGAATACATCTCACACAATATGACGTATTATACATGAGGTTATACCTGTGAGTAACGAAAACTGATAGTGAAAGCATTTACTCATTTTATATATTATGTATGAACTTATTTTAACAACTTTTAGAATATATTACTTCGAATTATTATGCGATTAACTCATACATCAATTATTTGCATTTATTATACTTTCAAAGTTTGTTTAACAAGAAATTGTTTAAGAGTAAAAATTGTAAATTATCTGTCGTTTCATTCCTGGCATATTTAAAAAGTAAATTTGTATTTATTAATAGTTTCGTTTGTTTATTATGAAAAGTATTCTCTTAATTTACATCTATTAATAATCTGAAAGATATGGTATTGACGTGCCAAATCTAAGTATATTGCATATATCAAATGTATATTTTCATTCATAAATCAGGATAATTTTTCTTTTTATATGAAATTTTTCAATTTCTTTAGCTAGATTGTACGTGAATATTATAAATACGTTATTATACTTTATCCTTATAACAATTAAATTGACTTTACTTAATTTAATTATTTCAAAATTTTGAAGTTATTGAAACGAAGAAATGGCAAAATATATATCCAGACAGCATAAGATCTCCTGAGGATGAACAAATGTCCTCAGGATTTTCTCAGGATGTACTCTGGATGTCGCCTGGACATCTGTGCTGTTAGGGATATAAATAATTTTTTTTTTAATATATATTAAGAAAAGATTATAAAAATTAACAAGTCAAAATAATTTAAAATATATGAAAACCTAAATGCATTTATAAAGATTTTCAATAAATTCTTATGTATTTATATAAGTCGTCTTCCAAGAAAATTTAGTTTTCCGCTTAATATTATATATTATTTTTTATAAATAAATTGCGTATAAAATATAACCATACATGATTATAGATTTTCCGAATAATCGTATTTTACTCTATTTAAATGAACAAATTATGTTTAAAAATAAAGATACTTATTTAAGAGACAAAAGTATTTATAAATTACTGTGATCGTTTCATTTAAAAAGAAAATTGAATTGTTGAACACAATTTTTATTTCAAGTAACATGGATTTTTCTATGCAAAATGTACAGTGTGTATTACGCGGAGTGTCATAGCTTTCCTACATTTTCTTTTTGATTACGGATTCATTTATTTAATGAGTTTAAACGATCGGATATCTATATATTTTTATGAATTTAGTTTTACTGATGCAAATATAAGCTAAAAGCTATAATTTCCATTTCATTTATGAGTTTCTAAATGTTCTTTTTTTACGCGTTCTTGTTAATATGAACAAGATGTAAATCTATTCTTTATAATGTCGCATTTATGTATGTGATTAATAAGATTATTTTGCAATATATCCTATATTCATATAAGACGCAATAAAAAAATTTAACGTACCAACATATGGTTACCATATATATTTAACTTTGTTGCATCTGTAATATAACATTATTTTCATAACTTCTTATAACATCGATATATAATTGTTTGACTATGTGTACAAACATATCGATACACTATGTCATAAAAAGATACGATTAAATGTAATAACTATTACATTCTTAATAGTAATTGTGAAATAATAAATTCGGTGCGTATATATAATACACACTTTAAAGATATTAATGAACAAGATAGATTATATGTCCAGGAACATTTTCATATTACTATAAAATATAAAACGTGCCTTACATAAATTTTTATAAAAAATAAAAAAACATGATAAATAGGAATCCATATTTAGGTATTTATGTACATACATATACATGTACCTATCTATATATATCTATATAGACATATAAATGGTTACACAAATATGGTGACTAATAAAATTAAATGCCTATATGACTTATAGTATCACACGAATAGATTATAAAGTGAGTAGAAGTCTTTATATAATCTCTATAAAAAATATATACTTGTGTATCACGTTTATATAGTCAGTCTTAATTCAACGCAAATATCATAATATTGTAAGTTACAATAAGTTTGTTTACACAACATATTTTTCTACATGTTTTGTACTTACAAATAAATTTCTAAAAATATTTCAGCATAAACTGCTTTTATATACACATTTCATACTCCATTATACTATATAATCTCCTTTTTACATTTAATATCTCTGAATGAATATGTCTTAGAACATTATGGATATAAGTTAATATCTCTCATGAACATGTTACCAACAAAACATGGAATTCATGTATTTTAACTCACGAAAATAAAAATTTTATCCTTTAACACGTTGCAACTCCCAATTTTTAATATGTACAGAAAGTTGACAGCAGCAATAAAGAAAAGAAAGCAGAACAAATAAAACTTTCCAAGATCCTGCAAATAAAAGTTAACGTGTTAATATTAACTTCAGTATCACAGAAGTTCTAATATTAAGTCATTTGTACAATTAACATATTTATACACAAACGATATAAAAATGTTAATATTAGTTCTAAAATCATCTATAGTATTTATAGCAGATATTCTTTTACATGTTACATGAAATATAATATATACATAAAAGACTTGCCGTATAATATGTTATGTACAAAAATATTTCCAATTTCTTGCCCTCCAAAAAAATAAAAATTTGATATAGCTGACATAGCTAAAAGAGGGCTTGCTAATATGCAATGGAACCTTCTAGTATTCATTGTAGATAAATACATATTTTGTATTTTGCGATATTGTGTGCTTTTACCAATTGACACTCCTACACTTTCGATTACTACTCCTATAAAATTAAGTAATGTCCAAATAAAAATATTCATTTGTATTCCATGCCATATAAGGACAAATGAGAAACATAAAAATGATGCAAACAGTTTTCCAAAGCACACATGAGACTTCTGAATCGGAAGATAAATATATCTGTAAAAACATGAAAATTTATGATTTTTATATGTAGATAAAATAGTATAAATATAATGTATATAAAACAGTACAAAAAATTTGTTTATTGTAGGAAAATTGCATGTGTATAGAATTGCATTTTTATACAAATTAAAATAAATTTAGATACAAAATACAATTGGGACATGTAATTTATATATATATATATATATATATATATATACCTTACGAGAAATGTATAAAATCCTCGATCGAAATGTTTCCACATGTCTGAGTATAAATGAATTCTACCTATGCATTTGGGTTTTGGTGGTGCTTTTATGTCGTCCAATTCACATAAAGTGCCGCAAATTCCATAAACTACGACATATTTATTTAAAAAAAATTGTCCCATGCAATATCCTAAACCATATAATGCCCAAGAATTCAAGTCTTGCACAACCTATAAAAAATGCAACATTATATTCAATATAAATGTAATAAAATAAATAATATATTTAAATTAAAATATATTTTGAACATATTACCTGTGGATGGTATTGTATTGCATTTATGTAAAGAAAGTGTAATAAAAATTCAGTAAAGTATATCCAGAACATGTATCTAATAAAGTTTAATGCAAAAGTTTGCAGTTTTCTATAATTCCAATATTGATATGGCTGATTAACCTAAAATATGACATTATTTACTATAAAATATTATCAAACTGTTTAACTTTAAACATGTCTGACATAACAGCAAATTATACATACCGACTCCACAAATTCATGATATAATATAAGCGGCCCTAAAAATAATGTAGGTAGATACAAACAATAGGCCAATCTCTGAATAAACTTATTTATGCCACTTAATTGTTCATCAATGTTGTCCATATTATGGCTAATAATTCTTAAATGTATCCAACACATTGTGAGTGTCAAAATAAAATGCTCTTCATCGCTGAATCTTAACCAGCTTTGAAAAGTACCATCTGGTGTTTTTAACACATGTATTATAAATAGACAGAATACATGTATACACCATGCTATATTTTTGGTACACATACACGTTAATATGTGCAGAAATACAGGTTGTAACAATATACATAAGAAACCTAATATGCCCAAATAGTAATAAAGGAACATTGCAGATGCGAGGATGTACCAACAATACAATATCTGAAAGATAACATATATTACACACTTCTTTCTAAAATCATATATAATTTACATATCTATATAACATTTTTAAAATCATATACAAGTTTACTATACCATATTATTATTATTGTTAATTTTGATAATTCTGCTGACAAAATGATGTATAAAAGTACATGGCACCAGTCTGCTGAGCAACATCAGCCATATACGCCACTCTTGATCAGAAATATCCTTTTTTCTGCTTATCCAAGTCCATCCTGAATCGAAATCGCCGTAGGCATCATAATAGTTGTCGAAATCTTAAAGTAAAAAACCGCTATGCGATTATAAGCATTAGTACATTATTATATTTTTACCTGTTAATTCTTACAATTACTCGAGGAATAAAATTGATATGCCGAATAAACAATAGCACATGGCCACGCAAGAAAGTAGAAGTAATTTTCGTATTTGTTCATGGTCATCGTATTATCATTTTTTATTGTTAAATTAAATTTGCCGCTTTACACAACGTTCCTGTGAAAAAAATTTATCTAATGTCTTTTCTACACTTTTATACGTTATTATTCTTTTTATCTTATCTTACTAAGAGGACACACTATATTTGTGCTGTTTTAAGTATAAAAAGTGTAGAAGTGCATATGAAACATAAAGGTTAGGTTAGGTTAACTTGACCTAACTTTTTCGGGTGCGCATGGGACATCAAGATACACACGTTTCTATAATTTTTCTTACATCTTGCGGGCTGATAAATACTTTAGTGACAAAAGTAAAAATGTAATGTAACATAAAGCTAAGAAGCTAAAAAGCATTTACTTTTCGCACGAATTCTTATTAGATATACGTATAAAAATGAAAAGTGTAAAAGAGGATGGTTGTAACCTTACAACATCCTCAAAGAGAATATTTTCTCCAGTTAGTAAGTCATTATTAAATTTATAAATATTAAGTATCTCTATATAAAGATATTTAGTATAAGAGTTTCAATCAGGGCTGTATCAAAATAAATAATTTATTACAGAATTGTCGTCACCTAATTCATATCACGGGAAAAATTTGACAGGAATAGCACGTCATGTACGTGATTTAGCTGCAGATATCCATGCAAATATACAACAATGGAATACTCTTCATCTTCAAGGAATAACTTGTATAAAAACTATAACTCAAGAGAAACAAACCAAAAATTATTATTCCAGGACTTTACAAGATTTGTGTGACAATTTAGAAAGTATTTGCGATAGTCTGGTTAGCACTTTCTTCAAATATTTTAACACTGCATTATTTAATATCCTTTGTGGCTTCTTTCATGAATGTGTCAGCTAATTCTTTAGTTCTACTTCTTTCTGCAATTATATAAATTTTTTTATATTGACAATTGAAAGGAATTCTATTTTATAGGATGACAAAGTTAGAAATTTGGATCGAATCAAACATCAGCTGAAAGCTGTAGCAACTTTACAGAAAACTTCAGATAAATTATTTATAACATGGCCAACAAACAAATTTGGTAAAGAACAAGCTTTTTAAATACAGATAAATACAGATTTAATACAGATATAAATAATAACAAGAAATTTTAGTTATGATTTCATTAGATTATTATATTATATTTCATAGTATTGTGACATAACACTATGAATATATATTCACAAGACATTTATTTGTATTAAAATTAAGGTAATGTAGCAGAAACCATATATGAAGCATATCACAAGGAAGCTAAGTTAAAACGCAAAATACTTGAAAATGTTGCTCATAATCATACTGCCTCTTGGAAAATGCTTCATCTTGCAGCATGGCAATATCAACCTTTATTGTCTGAAAACGTGACGATATTATTAGAATCCTTACTCCTGGAGACTGGCCACAGATTATTGCGATAACAATTTTTAAGGTAACATTTTTTACTTTATATGAGATTGAATTAAAAAAAACAATAATTAACAGGGGCTACAATTTACTTACCTAAAATTATACATTTTCATATCAGATCATGGACACATCCTATTGTGGTATCACATTCTGTTTGTTTATGCACAGAACAACTAACACTTAAATTCGTCTCAACGTCATTTGAAATGTCATCCAGCATGTTTCCGGTTTTGCTCCATTCTTACTACCTTAGTATGTGTAATGTCTTAGAATATATATGTGTATATATATATATATATATATATATATATATATATATATATATATATATATATATATATTATGCACACACACACACACACACATAAGCATGATCGGCCTTTACTCTATTCGATACGAGACAGGTGTAGGGAGACGGACAGAGAGTATCTCCTATTCTTACCGTCCCACTACCAGCTATTCATCTCACGCAACATACACATGGCTATACATAAGGTAGCTTTAGATAAGTGTCTAAAGATACATATGCCTATCCATATCACATGTATTTATTGCACCAATCCCGTATATTGCTCGGATTGGCTGTGCCCCTTCCATATATATTCTAAGGCGTATCCTCGTGCAGTTGACCACGTGTAGTCATGACAGAGTCGTGTTTAATAAGTCTGTTACAGTATACACACCTTTTTCCGTATCGTACTTTATTTGTATTATCCTCAAAGGGCATGGTCTCTCGATGAAAATTCATTAGACATAAAATGCAAATTTTATGATAACTAGATGATATTACATATAAAAAAAAAATATATATATATATATATATATATATATATGTATGTAATAGTATGTATGTTTCTATCGTGTCGTATGCAATCTATCGTATACCGTGTGCCGATCGAAAATTAATAATTAATTAAGCATGATTTCTTTTTTTTTTAAATCAGCCACAAAGAATATACTACATGTGTAGATAAAATTTCAGGTATATTCGTTTAGCAGTTTATTAGTTGATATTATTTCTAACGCCTAAACACTATCTCTCTCGATTTCGCTGTATATAAAAATAAAAAATACATAAAGTTATACAGATATTCTAAGTTTATCGCAAAACAACGGACGTTCGCGACCGGTTTTCAACGACGACGGTATGCACGGTCGACCGCGAATTAGCGGCCGCGACGCGTATCGTCCTGTTGCTCGTGTTGCCGGAGAACGGTCGGAGAACAAGGTCGCAAGGCAGGTAAAATGGCAGTCGTTGAGCGGACCACGATCGCGTCAGGATAGTATAGTTTTGCGGGAACGCCCGTAGACGTTCGCGACTGTTACAGAACGCTGCGACGTGGAGGATGTCATTCGTGCCTTATATACTTGTTTTTTTGTCCTTTCTTTTTTACCATTTCATATCGTGAACAATACAAACTCGATTACGTGCCACGCCGGTATAATTGCCATCGCTGTTACGGTTTAGCGCGTGCCTACGTCGACATCGCCAGAGACTCTCTCTCTCTCTGTCTTTCCTTTTCTCTCTCTCTCTCTCTTTCCCTTAAACGATCACGGAAGAACGGGACCCGTTTCAACTTCGTGCGGGTGTTATTAATGACATAAGGATTTTCATCATTCTAATAGAAACACAGAACAAAAAGAGAAAACGAGAAAGAGGAATGCAATTGTGTTAACGCACTCGCAACATATCGGTGAAATCTTTGCGCAACGCATACCGTGTGAATTCTACATACTTGTTACGTTATTTACATGTTCGTGCATCCCTAGAGCTACGCTTGACAATTGTACACGTGTGAAAGATTCAACGCATGAAAGAGTGAAGAGGGAACGCGTTACGTACAATATTAAATGAATCGAGGAAGAAGTAACTTCGGATTTTCCAATCGACGTCGACGCGACGTGATCTAGGCGGATCCAGACCTGAATGCATTGCGCGCGTTCAATGGGAATACCGAAACGAGAATCGAAAGGCATCATCGATAGTGCTGAGTATACGTTACAGTTCGCGCGACGCCGAATGTTCACTTCGCCGGTAGGTAGTAACATACATACCTGTACGAGCGCGATCGAGTGCGAACCATCGGTGTAAATATTGAACAAGTGACGTAATTAGTTACGCGAGGCATGATAATAAGCGGGGACGTTACTCGTCGGCGCGCCTCGCGATCAGATAAACCGCACGAAATTGTTCCCCGTTTCGAGGTCGACGCACCGTATCTGCCGCGGAGGAGTCTGATAAAAGATACAGTTCGGATCCGTCGTTGCCGTCGGACGGTCACACGAGTTTCCGCTGGCGGGAAACAATCGGAAAAACGATGGAGGTAAGTCCCCGAGCTACGTTCGGCGAAATGCATCATCGCAGCGTGTGCGTCAATTCGCGACAAGAGAGAAAGATAACCACCGCCGCTTGAAATGCGACCTGTACACACAGGTTACTTGCATATTTCGCGACTTCGTTTTTAATGACAGATCGTCCAACGAGTCTCTTGCCTGTAAATGCTCATTGTCATGCGACAGTCGACGAGCTACTTGACTGTTCATATTATTCTATATACGTCGGAACCGCGCCGACGCCGATCGTCACACGAATGTCTCTTATTTAGCCTCGAGAGATTCGGATGGTCTAAAGCTTGATTTCGAAATTTGATCCATCAGAGTTATTCAATTACCTAAAAAGGTTAAAGGTCAATTACCTAAAAGTTATTCAATTACCTAAATTACTCCAAATATTTGACATTACTATGCGATTCAGTGTAGAGACTGATTCGTTAACTTGATAAATCGACATACAGAGATACACGTTACCAAGATCGACGGGGCTTTCGGCACGACAAAGTAGCGAAGGGAACGGTATGTATACGTCGGTGGAATTTAGCTTGAAACGTCTCGAGAATCAGGAAATCCTCGAGAAACTCGTCAGACCCTAAGTCGGTCGTTCAGATGTTCTTGACGGAAATGAAGATGGTACACTTTTAAGGGGAGAGGGGGCTTCAAAGAGGTGGGAAGAGTTGTGCCCTATTTTGTTAGAAAGGAAACGGTGATTACAGTCGCTGCTTCCACCAGCCCTCAGTTTTCTGAGGACAGTATATCTGAGCGCGTTGCAGCTGCTTGTCTGGAATTCCTTGGAGAAACTCGTTTCAGTATTATCATCGAGTTCCTACGCGGAAGCAGCTGGCCGGTCCGCATCGTGAGATCAAGGTCTGAAAGTCGATTGTTTTACTTTATTACCTCTTGTGTCGATAGTTATCGTCTCTTATAACGAAAGAGCCAATGAGAAAATCTATCGAAGCCTCGACACTTCCGCAGAGAGAGACGACGGATTTTCCGATCAACATTTTGTGATATTCTTACCGAAGAAAATCGAGAATCCGTATCTGTCGCGTTAAGATCTCACAAATTATGGGATACCGTATACGTGTACGTACATACATAAGCAGATTGCGCGGATAATACTTTCTTAAAGTACTTCCGCGAGATTGGATTTTGAATGCGACGATACCGTTTTTGTCTCCGAAATTTCAGTAAGTTCCTGAAAGATGAAAAAATAGAAAGATTAATATCGAAACGGAATGAATAGAAGGAAATGAAATAGATGGAGAAAACGTGTCGCGATAAAGAGGCGTAGATAGATCACACCTTTATCAATGCTAACACGAGACATTGGCCTTCATTTCCTGTCGAGATCCAAGCGCGATTTCAATCTCGCTAGTCTCCTTTTTTTTCGAGGAATGTGTCATTTTATCTATTATTTCTCGTGACATTTACTCGCCATGTGACTCGTAATGTCTTGTCACGGGGAGGTACAGTAAAACGCAATATATTTTTTCAGAGATAAACTGATAACACTCGAGATTGCACGTTCGAGACGGTCGATGAAGCTAACGCGGCAAATTGCTACTGCATTCTTGCGGGCAATTCGCTGCATCCGTGAGAAACCCGTTTCGTCTTTCTACCGCGTGTATGTAGTCCCCCCGAAAGTGTTTCAGTGACACACGTTGAACGAAAAATTGCAGCTGGTGATACTTGAGCGAGTCGCACTCGATCCATTTGTTAGCACTGAGCTTTGAAAGATTCGATAAATAGATAGGAAGATTTGATAAATAGATACATGTCGAAGGAGATATTATTCGAAAGATTTGCTCGATGACGAGCAAAATGAAAATTGCAGAAAAGTTTCTCAATTTTATCAGAGAATATAGAAGATGTATGTATTAAAGTTCAAAGGTTCGTGAAACAATCAATTACCTGACACGCTTTCTGCATCACGATAAAGCAGGGAGAATAATAAAGAACGAAAAAAAACAAAACAAAAAATAAAAAGAAAAAGAGGAAACTGAAGGAGAGATTACATCTATTGTAACTTGGGACCGCAACGAATTTAAAGATCCCATTGAAACGTAACAGCTGATTTTATGGCGTTGCGTTCAGCTAGTTTTCTGGAATTCGCTTCCCGTTAGCGCGGTTATTGACACTAGATCTGCAGTTCGATTCATCTTGCAGTTGGATTTTTCCATGCCACACGGCGAAGCGGGGGCGTAAGTAGGAGGGCAGAGAGTAAGCGGATAACAAGCAAGGGGAAAGGGTCACGGAACTTTTCCTCCTGCAAGCCGTACAGCCGAAAACACGGCGGGCAGAGAACCTGTTGCTTACGAAGAACCTGTCGCATCTTTCAGAACCATCTCACGCCACGTTATAAAGATAGAAAAGTTCATCTCCAGACTGACCCTAAAAACAGAATTTTTAAAAGAATATAGATTTTGTTGCAACTACAAGAAAAGAAAATCGTTCTGTATTCATATCTTTAAATATTTAGAATATATGATATTTCAAAAGATATTTTCAACTCTCTCCATGAGATTTAGAGATAATTGTAGCTAATCAATAGTGAGAGAACCCCATCTATTTCTACATACCACAAAGAGAAGTTAAAAATTAAACAGAGATAATCTCACTTATTAAAATCTTTATATAATAAAAGCTTTTTGGTATGTGTGCACGCAGGCGGAACATAGACTGGAGCAATTGAGGAAGGCGACAGACAGAATACAGAGAGAGATCGAAGAGGTCACCGAGAGGGAACACGAACTGCGGAACGTAGGCAGCATTAAAACTACATCCCACGAAACGGTAGACTCCAAGGTAACTTTAAGACATTATGCATAAGTCTACAGTATACATACGCATGCACGCGTTTAAAATACTTTTGTGTATTGGACAGAAGTCCACGAGACCTCTAAAATTTCCTGAAAGGATCTTTTGTTAGCACAAGTAAGACCATTCTCGAATACCTGAAGAACCAACGAAAGTTTCTTTTAAAAGGGCGTTTTTGAAGAGAAAAATGATCCTTTTTCTTTCGGGATGATAGCTCATTAATAATTTTATTGTACACAGGTGCGACGTATGCCGCAAGCGCTAGCCTCAGGCAAGTTAAAGAGGACAACGTCTACGCCCCAGATTCTGGAAGCGGTGAGCTTGAACCCGCTGTCGTCAAACCTGACGCCAAAGATGACAAACGGCGTGATATCTACGCGTACAACCCCGACGCCGTTGCGTTTCGCCAGCGCGCCAAGCCAGAAGGGTTTGATGCACAGGTTCCTGGCTACGCGGGGAAAGATCTACAGCAAGAACAAATCGGGGACTAATGACCTTCTGAGTCCACCCATAACACCCACTATCACGCTCAATCCTCTGAGTATCAAGGCCTTGAACCGAACGCTGGAGATACAACTGGAGCCGGACGATGAGCCGAAGAAACCACCGGCGAGGAAGGGATACGTGCCGGTCGAACAGAAGATCCAGAAAGAGCTGCATGATATGAAAGAACGCGAGAACGAACTAAGGTATGAAAAAATGCGCATCTCTAAATTAAGAGATACAAGTCTTTTTTTTCTATAAAGAACTTGTGAATTATTATAAGAATTATTTTATATATAATTTTGTATTTCTTTAATTTCACGACCAAAATCTACTTCAGGTATTTATAATTCTTCAAAGAATTTTTTTATATACACGATTTATATAAAATTTCAAGTAGAAAGTCGCGAGTTATAGGCTGCCTGAAGTAGACTTTATTGTCCCGAATAAATGGTTTTTAACAGATTAAATAAATGCATAGAATTCTGTTTAGTTCTATTATAAATTTAAACAATTTACCTTTTTATAATATTTGCTTCTGTTTGCAACGATAAAGACTCTAAGGATTATCCAGGAGTTGAAAGGGTGTTACACACACACACACACGTCTGTAATAACAATATATAATTTAATAAAAAAATGAATATAGTATTTGTATATCCAAAAAATGTCTTATACTCTCAAGCGTTGTATTTGCGAGAGTGAAATTCGAACGTAACATTTAGAAAATTTTCATTTGTTTTTTCAGACTGATGAGGTCGCAGATGTTGGCAAAATCTCAGCCGAATTTGCTTGATATAGGAAACGATAATGATTCTGACATTTACGACGGCTCTAGTTCACTTAGAAGCGGTACTTCTACTAATACTTTGAACGAGGACGAAATTGAGAGAGAGCACAAAGGGAAGCATAAGGTAAGACGCGATGTGCGAAGAATATGATTGCACGGCCAATTGTTATCGTCCAAGCAATCCTGATGATACAAAGCAAATGCAATTCGTTAGAATATTTTATCGACACCTGAAATTGATGATTGTAATGAAAATAGCTTTTCGTAATTTATTTTTTATATTAATAATTTATATATAATTTATATAAAATATTAATATTTTATTATTAATTACATATATGTATATTTATTATATATTTACAGCCTAATCCACGACGTCGTAGCACGCTTATCGCACAATGGGAGAATCTGATAGCCGCAAAGAAAGAATCCGTCGAGAACAACGAAAGCGACAATTATTTTTAAAAGTTTTATAGCGCCCAGAATGTGCTTGTTAGTAACAATTTCGTTCTCACTTTTATCCTGTCGTAAACGTAATTTACGTAAACGTTCAATTGTAAATTGATTATTCGGTTGAATATCACAGTAAGCATTCGTACTGTAACTAAGGTTACTTTGCCATTCTTGAAGCGCATATCAATCGATTACGATGAATCTGTATCTCAATTTTCTTGTTTATCTTGTCTATATAGTTTATTTACGAACGAGCGATTTCGTTCGAACAATTATAGAAGTATATCGTTAATTAGAATAATGTATAAATGCATATCTCGCGGCTGCATGTTTTCAGTATTAAGTTACTATAGCTAACCGTAATTATTAGTAATATAACTTTTTACGAAGTTGAAGAATCTTCCTACAAAAACTTAGAGCTAATTTTGTTTTTTTTTTGTTACGTTATCGATGAATTGTAATTTGAATACAATATATAAAGTATTGTCATTCATAAATGACTGAAAATTTTTATATACATGTCCAATATGGATATGTGGGTTTGAAATGCCCACGATTGTTAAAACCTTACATGCAAATAAGTAGAAAAATTGGAATTTGCAAATCTTTTCACTTATCAAATTCGGCATATATGAAGAATTCTGTATATATAAAAAGTGTACCTGTGCTTCTCTAATTATACTGGTTTTATTTCGTCTAATTTATTCGTTACAACCGTTAAGTATTCTTCTACTTTGGTCAACGACTCGAGGATATGCGACTGAGTCCATTCCTGTCTTTTGACTTCTTTCACAACTTTCTGAAGCGATAATTTTGCGCTTCCTAACAGTTTTCTCTTCTTATTGATCACGTCAGTGGTGCAACGTAGATATGCTTGTGTTAAGTCACAACATAACTCTAGCACATACAAAGTTTGATCTTCATTATCAGACCAGTGTGGATCGAAAGTGGCAACACGGTACGCTTGTTGTAAATAATGCGCTGCTTTTTCATCGTCGACATCTGTTTTTTTCAATGCAACGAGTTGAGCATACATTTTCCAAATATGCGCGTTATCCACTTTAAAGCTAAGTCTTCCAAATAATTCTAAACTTTTCTGAAGCAAACGAGATGCTGGATTTCCATTTGCGTCATTAATATCGTTGATTATGGCATTTGTTAATATCTGAAGAACTTGGACATCCAAATGGGCACCTTTTAAATCCATTATGCGATGATAACATCGAATAATCTAGAGCAGAATAAAATAATTTAAAGATATTTATGATTGATATAAAAACGTTACTCTTTTCGATTCTGTAATTATTAGTATCTCGAATGCGATAATATTAAAAATAATCTAGATAGCATAATAAGAGAAAAAGTTTTGTAGAAATCTAAATTATCAAATATATTTATATATTACTTACCTCTGAAAAATGTCGTAAATCGGTGTTGACGACCATAAAATTGTCCCACACTTCCCAACGATTATAATCACATTTCACAGCATCCTCCAGAGACTTTCGTGCCCTTACTATATTTCCCATTTTGATGTATGCTTTTGCTAAATTATTCCACGCCTCGAAACTCTAAAATATATGAATCATTAGAATCATATATCTCTTTTTAATAATTAAAATTATATTAAATCAATAAAAATATTAAAATATACATACAGATGGTTCTAAAGCACAGTAGCGTCTGTACGCCGTGGCAGCTAAATTCCAATTTTCTATCTGCAATGCAGCAAAGCCCAACCTAAACCAAGTGCCTTCTTGAATGTTATTCAATTCTACTGATAATTTCAAATGTGGTACAGCTTCAACATACTGAAAAGTAAATATATTACATTGAAAATTTGCAGTAAAAAAATTAATATGAAAATTAAAATTCAAGATTTCCTCACTGACATTTTTTCTCGTGAAATAATAGTATCCCCATTGTCTTTGTGCTCTACTGCTTTTTTCTCCAGACAATCTCCATGCTGTCTCATAATGACTCACATCGCCAGTTGTATCTCCCAATAAACACCATAATTTCACTGTTGGTTTCTTAGACAATTCTTGTTGTATAATCTCTGACGCCTATAAATTTTTACTGATGTACTTTATACAATATCAATGTACTTTATACAATTTTTACTGATGTACTTTATACAATATTATATTCAAAGCATAAGAAACACGTACTTTGTGATTCAGATCTAATCTGCGATAACAAGTAATTACTTCTTCCCATAAACCAAGTTTTGTATAAGCTTCCAAAGCAGCCTTTACCATATCAAGATGAAACATTTGAAAAGCCACTTCCTCTCTTAATGTCCAAATAGGTTTCATACCACTCGTGAAAAATAGATCCATTCTTCTAGCTACAGGTACTTTTCCATCACTATATTCTTGATCAAGAGATTGTCCTTGCTTCAGAGATCGCGGTGCAGTTCTGAAGTGATCATGTTCTAGTGAGCAACGACAGTACAGAGAAGTCATTTTTAATGACCAATTCTTTGTGCTCTCTATAACTTTCTGAAAGAATTTTTTCTTTTTTATAAATACTACACTGAGAATGTAGTTAATAATTAAATAAAAGATTAACATCATAGCTTACAGTCATGTAGGGTTTGATTTCTTCTTGAGTAAGTTTATGCTTAGGTTGACACATCTGTAATTGAGTACTAATAACTATATTAATATTCTTTAAATCTTGTAATGCAATCATATATACAAAGATACAAGTTGTACTTACTATTTTGTTAAAATTATAGCTTCTTCCACTGCACCCAGATTGGTTTCCTCTGTATGCTCTGTAAACTCAATACGTTCCAATCTCAATTCATCATCTAAAGTCACAGATATTGGTATATCTTCACAATTTATTGTTGGAAAAATTTCTTTGCTTATTTCTGCTTTCAAATACAGTTGTGATTTTTCCTCCAACTGATATCTTGTACGTTTCCCCATTGCACCATGTAAAGTCAATGTTAAGCCAGCTATACTCTGTGCCTGATCAAGATATTTCTCAGAATCCTGTGTTCTTCGGAAACACAAATAAAATCTAGTAGCCTCCAAATTGAATAAAAGATTGCAAAGAGGATCTTCTAATATATCAAGAGAACTGATTATTGATATTAGATTTTCAGTTTCTTTAAATATTATTCCTGAATTCTCTTCTAGTATATGTTGATGCAAATAATTGGCTCTAAGTAACCACCAAGTGCAACTTTTATATTGAAGTTGCAAGTCCATATTAGAGAATATTATTTTAGACAGATAAAGTAATTCTGGTTTTTGCACATTTATATTACATTCATCATGTAATGATAAATTCTTGAGTGCTTTATGTCTTTCAGCTTTTAACCAATCAATATCCTTGTCAGTATATGGGCCAGTCCAATTGCATTGTACAAAATATAATAAAGAAGCTATTCCTGTACATAACCATGACTGATATATATTGGTTTCACTTATACTTTTATATATAACTTCTTCCAAACTATGACAATTATTTATTTCTTTTATTATAGATGTAGAGAGTTCATTATTTAGTACATCTTCATATTTGCCATTTAATATACTGCATATACTATGTGGTATATTGGGAACTGAAATTAGAAATAAATATATAATTTATTAAAAAGGACAATATATATATCATTTTTTCACAGATTTTTAACAATAATGTATACTCTAATGCTTCTGACACAAATATGAATATTGAAACTATTATTTTAAATTGTATTATAGTTATATATTTCCTAACTTTTGAAACTACTTTGTTTACAATATCCAGTATATATAATAACTTTAAACATTCTACACATTAAATTATTCCATATAATAACTAAAAGCATCTACACACATAATACATGCAGGTAAAACTTAATCAAAATCAGTGAAGAAATTTATTACCTCTATGACAAAGTATAATTTTTTTATTATAAATAACTGCATTACATATATATATAAATATATGCATATATACCTTCATTTGTAGAAAAATTAATTAAAAGTTTAATTTCTATAGTTTCATCTATCTTGCCTTTATTCATATCCATAGCGTACCACAATTAAAACATGTATTAAAAATTTATTTATTGTATCTTTGCTGGAAATTATTATAGAATCAAGGTCTCTCTTTTGCTTTTGTCTCACACGTGCTCACGTATAATGGCTTCTGAAAAAGAAGTTGGCAAGCATGATTGATTGTCCTTTTCTATTACACTTCTTACACCATAGGTTTGTTCGCGTTGCTTGCAATTTCTACACTTTTACACCTAACGCCCGATGCACACTGAACCTTTCTTCGAAAGAAGAACTCTCATTGGATTTTGTTTATCACGTTTGGTGTGCAACAGGCATTAAGTGTAAAAGTGTCAAAAGTGTAAGCAACGCGAACAAATCTCTTATTACACTTTCTCTTCTCATCTTTCTGCCGCCAAAACTCAATTATTTATTATAAATGTTCTATTTAAAATCGAAATATCACTTTGTAACTATTGTCTTGCAGAAGGCAAACCATTTGTTTATAGATGAAAATAATAAGTGAACCTAATTATACATTGTTTGTGATCAGCAGAAAAAGTAAAAGCTTAATAATGCTCAATTTTTTCACCTCCGGTTAACTTTGGGTGCGGTCCAACAACCGCTACAAATAAAAACACTACAAAGCATTTGCAGCGTCCGTTAGACCGTACCTTATATTTGTTATTCTATTGGAATTGACCAATCATATTATAGTAGCAAGAATTAACCAATCACGATTGACATGTAACCGACAGATAAAGAGTACGGTCCAGCGGGCGCTGCAAATGTTTTGTAGCGTTTTTACTTCTTTCTCTTTCTTCATTCGAATCCGAGGAATAGAACAAGAGGGAGAAACGCTGCGCAGCATTTGTAGCGGTTGTTGGACCGCACCCAAAGTCAACCGGAGGTGAAGAAATTGGGCACAAGTCATTTGAGTTGCATTATCAGCAGTTTTGCAACTGTTGTAAGATTTTCTACCGAACGACATGTCTGATGTACAATGTGTTTTTTGCTTCCTATTTTCTATCTTTTCCTAGCTTATGGCACAAGATGTAAAGGAGGAGATAAAAAAAATAGGAAACAAAAAGTACATTGTAGATCAGGTTTTAGCAATTTACGCTTTCCCAACATCTTTAACAATTCAGCGTATTAAAAGTATACTGCAAAAAATAATGACCATTTAATAAAGCTACTGACGATATAGTACAAAATGCATTAAGTTGATTTTTCCGTTGAAATTATAGTTATTCGTACTTACGATGTCGTCTTACACGAATGACAACAAAGATAGATACAGTGCAGTTACGATCTGAGAAGGAACGAGAGAGATAACAAATAAATATCGTAATTTCTCTTACTACACTTATTTCACGTTGGTGTTGATCTATACTAGTTATACTGGTCTATACTAGTTATAACTTGAGGAATAAAACCAGTTTTTTGTAAATTGTGTTACACCACACACAACGTTATACCTCCTATTGCTCATTCATTTACCGGATTTTACTGAGAATATTATCGTACTATTACAGTAAGCACATATTCATACATTTTATTAAACTGAAACTGTTGTTTCGAAAAATATTTTGCAATACTTATCATGAATATTGTTTGTTCTAGATGTCTTTTGTAGGAAAGGTAGTTTTAATAACAGGAGCTAGTTCAGGTATAGGAGCCGCGACTGCTATTCACCTGGCAAAACTTGGTGCATCATTGTCGATAACTGGTCGTAATAAAGATAACCTGAACAAAGTTGCTGCGCAATGCGGGCAGTCCAAGACGTTTATTGTAACGGGAGAACTTACTAATGAAAACGATGTGAAAAATATCATTGAACAAACCATCAAACATTATGGTAAACTAGATGTTTTAGTCAATAACGCTGGATGTTTAGAGGCTGGCAGTATAGAGTCTACGAGCTTGGAACAATATGATAGGTATGCATAATGGTTAAATATATGTATTCGTTGATAAGTAAAGCAAAAAGTAGAGATAACATAAAACTGTCTAATCAAATATATGTAACTTTAAGCACTTATTGTGCATGAAATTTGTCTCAAGTTAGAATGTTATAATTTACAAAGCAAAGATAAACCAAATATTATATCTTGTTTAATTTTGTTTTGTGATTATAATAAATATTGCACAATAACAAATTAGTTTATAATAAATAAATATACTTTTTCAGAGTCTTCAACTTAAATGTTCGCTCTGTGTATCACTTAACAATGCTTGCAACACCTTATCTAATTGCATCCAAGGGCAACATCGTCAATGTCTCTAGTGTAACTGGATTAAGGTCCTTTCCAGGTGTTCTGGCATACTGCACAAGCAAATCAGCTGTGGATCAATTAACACGCTGTGTTGCTTTGGAACTGGCAGAAAAACAAGTAAAATTATGATCCTCTCATTTGTCACTTTTAATATTTTCAAATATTTCTTTTAACACTCTATATTATTTATTGAAGGTGCGCGTAAACGCTGTAAATCCTGGTGTCATTGTGACAAATCTCCATCGTACCAGTGGAATGAATGAGGAGCAGTTAAAAAACTTTTTTGAGCATAGTAAAGGGACACACGCTTTGGGAAGAACAGGTGACCCTACAGAAGTCGCGAAGACAATCGCATTTTTAGCGAGCGACAACGCTAGTTATATTACAGGTGCAACATTGCCTGTGGATGGAGGTAGACACGTCATGTGTCCTCGTTAAAAGAACTTTACACTTTTTGTAAACTGTATACTTTATTTTTGATGAATACACAATGTGTTACCCCACTTATATTTTTTACAGGGAACACCTACGTATTTGTACTCTATTTTGTCAAATAGTTCTATATTAAAACACGCCTAAAACGTAATATATTTCTATAAACTTACATAGATATATTGTAACTATTTTTTATATTATTTTTAGAGATCTACAGAAGTGTTTTCCTATTCATATCTATATAACAAAATAAATGTAACGATCAAAATATATATATATATATATATACATATAAATGTTTCCTTAATAATCCTTCATGGCACAGTCGGAATAAGTATTTTATGCAATACTCGTTCCTGCAACGAGTGTAGCGAAAATACTTTTATTAATATTTGGATTCTTGTAATATCAGTTTCACAGAGAATTTTGGAGAACTTTATTTTATTATAATCAAAGATCACAACCAATTCTAAATTTGCAAATTGACTAATGCACAATAAATATAATTTTCTATGGTCCTATGATTGGCCAGGATGCAAAATTATCATTTTTTTTCTTGAAATTTTTTAAAGTAACTGGCAAAATTGATTAAAATATAAAGAGCTTAGCCAATTCGCAAAATGATTGGATTCCAACTTTGGTCATAACATATTAATATATGGAAACTTATAAATTTTGTTACTTATAAATCTCCATATATTAACATATTACTAAATATGTCATATATGGGAATGTAAATAAAATTTAATTAGACGTCAATTGAATCTTTTGTAAACCATATTTCAGCTATGGCATCATATATATGTGTATATATATGTAGTTGTCCAATTTTTGTTTGCCAAAGAAAACGGCAGTGTTAACAATTCATGTTAGAATAAAGATACAAGCCGTATCACATAACATGATGATATACAGACTGCGTTCGCTTTGGGCGCTTACGCGCTGTAAGCGTCATTCTATCTTTATTACTCATTACATGCAGGAAGAAGACAGAATGACGCTTACAGCGCATAAGCGCCCAAAGCGAACGCAGCCACAGTAACATACAACACACATCAATATAAAGAATTTATCTATAGTATAATCTGTAGCTATAGTATAACAGATCATTTCTAAAATGATAATTTTAGAGTGTGTAATAACATTGACGATGATGAATAGATTACTTATGTAATATACGCGTACAAGAATATTTTCCTTTACAACAGTATACATATTACATATAATATTTACGTTATTCGCAACGTATATCGCAAATAGGCTATTGCATTTTGGCTTGAGTATGTAAACAAGAAATAACTTTTTATAATCTTAAATGCAACACTATATACGTGTAACAAATATTTAACACTAACAATTTAGTATATCTGTTCTCTTTACATTTAAAGAAATTTTGATTATAAAATAGTTCTAACACATTACTACAGTTCCCCTACTTTAATAAAGACAACATTACGTGTCAAAAAATTTTCGCTAAGAGTCAAATAAAAATTAACTATTACAATTTATTCTTGACATCTTTTTATCTTGATATTAAGTGTTCACTTCGTGTAAACTTCCCTCTATCTCTTGTGAAGCAACTAATTGGTCTTTCCTATTAAAATATTCTTTTATTATGTTTATCTGCACGTCGTTTTTAAATCTTTCTAAAAAGACAAACAAAAAATAGAAAATCACAAATATAGTTAGTATGAAGTCTCTATAATCGATATACTACATAGTATAGTATAGTATAGTTTGTACCATATTAATGATACAACAAAATATATGTATATATAAGTCTCTCTACAGTCAAAGGTACATCTTACTGCTCTAAATCCTTTTGAGCTTCTTTAATCGATATTATGGCTACGAAGTATTCAACATGCCTAAGATATATTATCACAACGATTTCCCACGGAAAATTATGCACAAGTTTAAAGCGGATAGGTCCCCTTTCGAATCCACTTTGTATCTATGCAAATGCATTTTCGTCGATAGATAAATAACAACTAAGCGTAGACATTTCAGCCTTTACTGGCAGGTACTCTGTTATTACTATTGTTTTTCGAGTCCACCGCGCTCAATGCAATGCCTAATTGCGCTGCGTAATACGTCAGCATAATAGACACCTGCAATATAAAGATCAAAGATTAATACGTTTGTTGATGTAAACTAGCGATTATACATTTATGATATGCGTACTTGCGCGTATGGTAATGGAGTGTGGAAGTGGTGAAACCCGAGCAAAGTATCAGATATAACGAAGCAAATACTTCCGATACAACTGCATAATTTAGTCCATGTCCATAATTCCTAAAAATACAATTACCTAATTGGTATGGTATTAAATGATAATTAATAGATATAGTTGATTATTGTATGATACGTTGTTAAGTACACATAGCAATTAGATTGCTGTTCATCATTTCATCATTTAATCGCAAAATATGAACTATCAGGGAAGTGTATAACATTTCAACGAAATAAAAGTGATAAAATATTAAGATATAAAAGATAAGATATTAAGATATAAAATATTAAGATATAAAAGATAAGATATTAAGATATAAAATTCGAGCATTATTCACATAGTTGGTATATCGTCATGTTTTAAATTTACCCCGAAGAATTGTACTCGTGATATCGCCCTCCATGCCATAGTAGTAATTAATACTGTATAAATTGGTACTCCTATCGCTAAAACACCGCTCAGTCCGGGCAATAAAGTATATGTGACTAGAAAATACAGATATCATCAGTTATTGATAACGATCAATTAATATTCAATAACGATTTGATAAAGATTATTAATATAATACTAATCAGTGCAAAAAATATTGAATAAATATTTGTTGAATCTCACCAACAGAACTAAGCATGTACAGTACCGCGCCCAGTTTTAAATTGAGAGGTTTGAATTCAAATGCGATTATATACATGATTTGCGCTATGGCAAACATGCACATCCCCGCGGTGAAACCATTAGGCCATACTAAAAATGCATCACCTATGCAACTAAATACTAATCCCGTTAATATGCGTCTGGAAAAAGTGTATCTGCAAAGAAATGAATTTTATATTAGTAATGCTAAACCAGAAAATCAATTCAGAGTTTATTTGTAGATTTATTTTATACATAGCTGAAAATTGTATTCACTTACTCTTTAGACAAACTGATACCATGTAATAAGACGAAAAAAATAAGGCTTATTATTGGTAAACATTTTAAACAAGCCGTCAACACGGATGGCTGTTCAGCAAGTAATACAAAATATACGGACACACTTTTAAAAAACGGCACCAATTTTGGTCCAATACATTTTATCTGAAATGTAACAGATAAGTTTTGTAAGCTTTTGTAGGCTTGTAGTATCACGCTGATAAGGAAAAAAACGATGATAAAAAAGTGCTTGAAATTAAATATACAACTTATCAATGTAAAATAACGATTATACGCGAGACATTTACAAAGTAAATTTGCTTGCATATTAATATCGATTTAATCGTATATTAGCACATATAATGCGTGATTTTTTAGCAAAAACAATTATTCAGGCTTAACACTGTAAGACAATTAAACTGAAAATAGTTTAAATATTTTTAAAGATATGATATCTAAAGATATGATATCTAAAGATATCTAAAGATATCATACAGAATAAACATCTTTTATTAAGTGTTTTCTACTACCCACACAAAACAAATATCTATGAGATGTATTTTGGATGTTTGTTCTGTATGGGTATTAATTGTACTTTAATGATTATATTTTAATCATTAAAAAAATAATAATAATAATTTATAGTTAAAATAGAATTCTTTTACTTCTAAATATTCTCAAATTCTTTACAAAATATCGTATATATATATATATATATATATATATATATATATATATATATATATATATATATAATATATATAATAAAATGACCAGATTGGCATAAAGTGGCCATTCAATATTAGACTGTTGTGTATCTTGATAGTACCAGTGTTAGATAATGTACTATCATGCAACTAGCTGGAGGTCAATGATTAAGCATTAGGTCAATGATTAAACATTAGGTTAATGAAGATTTAGTGACAGATTTCTCTTACGCTATTATTATCAAAAATTGAAAACAACTTCAAACTAAATATGAAAACAAATTGTTTAAATTTTAAAAATTTAAAGTTTAAATATATTTTATTATCTTATATATATTTAAGTACAAACATATATACATATGCTAATATATTTGTTATATATATTATATATATATATATATATATAATATATATAACAAATATATTAGCATATGTATATATGTTTGTACTTAAATATATATAAGATAATAAAATATATTTAAACTTTAAATTTTTTAAATTTACACAATTTGTTTTCACATTTAGTTTCAAGTTGTTTTCAGTCTTTGATAATAATAGCGTAAGAGAGATCTGTTTGTCACTAAATCTTCATTAACCTAATGTTTAATCATTGACCTAATGCTTAATCATTGACTTAATGCTTAATCATTGACCTCCAGCTAGTTGCATGATAGTACATTATCTAACACTGGTACTATCAAGATACACAACAGTCTAATATTGAGTGGCCACTTTATGCCAATCTGGTCATTTCTCTAATAGCACACTATTACAATAACAACTACATTAGATCTTTTAAGGAATTTCAAACAGAATCTACATAATGCAAAAGTCTTTATATTCTACTATCCAATTTATAAGTACCCATTATTCATGTCTATATCTCAGCATATTATTTAATAAATGTCTTTTTATAATTATCTAATGTTTGTATATGTTCATCTAATCATATAAAATGTTGAAAAATATTTTGTGACATTAAAGAAAACAAAAAATTTTAAATTACAAAGAAATACATGAATTAAATTTTATTTGTCATAATTCTTACAATAGTTTAAATGTAATTATATATTATGAAAATATGTATATAAATTGAAAAATTGCATATAATATTGAAATCTTTTTTTATGTATGACTACAGAAGTGGTATTAAGTATTTTCTTTTCTTCGAACCTTACTAAAAATATAAAATTTTCAAATTAAACATTGAGTAAATACATATAGGCAGTACAGTTGCTATTTTAAATCTTCATCAAAAGCTACATTTTTTATGAGAAAATTGTTTTCCGAATATTATATAAGCTGTCTAATAATTTCTTGATATTTTTTATACAATTTTTAATTTTTTATGTACAACAAAATACTTATGTAAATCGAATATTCGATAATTTTTAAATAAATTCAGCTGGTTGTTTGAATGCATATGTCAAAGTATAGCGCGAATGTGCGATTCATATAGAAAACAAAGGAAGCGTTTCCTGAATCGAATGAATAGAAAGGAAATGCAGTGATGGAGTTGAGGCGATACGGTTCGATTTAACAAAGAATGAAACTGAGAAAAAAACGTAAAAACGAGAAGACAAGTCACTAAATAAAACCACTACGATTTCGTTCATTTCTTACCACTTGTGTAGGCGATGACATTTTTAGTCGTACCACACCGGCAAACAAAACCAACAGTAGCAGTACCCTATAACAACGAACCAACCAACCGACTGATCGACCGTAACAGACTGAATGCTATCGCTTGCAAGCGAGCCCGCTTATTTATACATTTTCCGATCTTTCGCTACACCATGCGCGTGCGCGCACGTCACTCTGGAAGATATCGCTCGTTATTGTCAGTGTGGCCAAATGAACGTTAATTGATATGTGAGCGCAATTATTGTTTTCCTGTTAGCTACACTGAGATGAATACAAACCATGCGAAAACAAATTTTTATAAGCGAATACAAATTTTAATGAGTCATGTAAAAAGAAATGAAAAAGAACGCAGTAGCGCCGTAGTTAATATGGCGTGCAGCATTTTTTCAAATTTTCTTTCAGATAGCGTAATTATACATATATACGTGTCTTTTATAAAGAAAAAACTTATAAAATTATTTCCATGTTTTAATATATACATTTACACCTATATAGATATTTACCTTATAGATATACACCTTATTATAGATATTTTAAATTACTATATTTTAAATTACTTTTTTAGATTTATTTGTCACCCTTTGATAACAAATTCAAATTTTGCGGGTAACGTCATCTCCATTAAGCCCGTATCAGACTACCGACTGCACAGGCCGACCCGACTGCCAACTACGACTGTCGACTCTCAATAGACCAATCATAGTGAGGCGTCGACTGACTGGATCGGTCGACACGCATTTAGACTTCAATCTATTTTTCGAGTCGGCGACTCGAGTCGTAGCCAATCATATAGTAGTTCGTATGATAACGCAACTATTTTTTTCTTTCTTCTAATATTTTGAGATTTCTTAAAAGAAAGTTTTATATTTCTTGACATATATGCCATTATTTTACTATCACACAGAACTTATGGCTCCTGCACACAGGACGCGGTAATGCTTGCCGCGCGGCGGAAGTTCGCGCGACAACCAATCAATATGCTGCTTTCCGTAATAACCTTCTAGCTCTTATGGAAAAACAACATATTGATTGGCTGTCGCGCGGATTTCCGCCGCGCGGCAAGCATTACCGCGTCCTGTGTGCAGGAGCCATTACTACACCTATTATAGATCGGGACGGGTGCATCCCGATTGACCATGGTACGATTGGACACAACCAACCGATGAAAAGAATTATGTAGTGAATTACTAGGTCGAACCAATCATTACAATCTGTGTCCAATCGTATCGTGGTCAATCGGGTCCCACCCGATCGGGACTAATCCGTTAACTTATACAAGAACTGTAAAAAAATTGACCAATCATAGTCAAATTATAGAAGAATAATCGACTATGATTGGTCAATTTTTTACGGTTCCGGCATAAGTTAACGGATTACGATCATTATAAACAGGGATATTGAAACAATTGACCAGAGGCCTGTTCTTTATAGCTGCACTGCTGAACTGGTGTAATATATTGAAGTAAGACAAATATACGTTTTCTTACTCTAACTTATTGCACTAGTTCAGCAGTGCAGCTACAAAGAACAGACTTCATGTGTTATTTGAATGCCCGTTCTATACTAAAGAATCTGATTTGCTGCGGATTGGTTTGGTCCGCGCAGGCGTCGGTTGGCCTGTGGAATCATGGCAGATTGCATTTAGTGACTCGGAGGAAGCCTTTTTGCTCGTGGATCGTTTCCTAAAGGGACGTTTACATTGGAAGTAAGCAGTAAGAAGTAGGAAGTAAAAATAAGAAATTGACCAATCATAGTTGATTATTCTTCTCACATTTGACTGTGGTTGGTCAACTTCTTACTTTTACTTCCTACTTCTTGCTATTTACTTCCAATGTAGACGTCCCTTAAGAAGTATTCACAGATCTCTCTGAGTTTCTCGGAGCCATTTACCTTTTGGATTTTTACGGTCAATGGACTTAGTTCCACGACCAGTAAACAACAACGACCATCACAAACCAGCCTTTATTCTTCTAAAACCTATATCACACTACCGATTGCAAAGATCGATCCAAGGGTACGTTCAGATTCCCTACCCGGGTGCACCTAATACTAGAAGTGCTATAGTATATGTAACATATACTATAGTGTTTCTAGTAATAGAGTGCACCCGGGTAGGGAATCTGAACGCACCCCAAGGTCGATTCTCTTTATAAACCAATCACAATGATAGGATCAGTTAGCATTTAACTGTAATTGGTCTATAAAGAGAGTCGGCAGTCGGGTCAGTCTTTGCAGTCGGTAGTATGATACGGGAATTTAAGAAGTGCTTAAAATTTATTGGGTTTCCTATCTATGAGTGATTTTGTTTATGGTTCCATCCAGGACTTGTAGAATCCCATCTAGAGAAAAATATTTTATAGCTCACAAAATTGACAAGAACATCTATGTTACCAGATGCTGCATGGATTTACCTCCAAGCCAGGAAATAGGTAGATGACAAGAACATCTGTAATGAATAGAGTTGTACATTCATCACATTCACTCTGTGACATTTAAAGGGAATCTAAAAAAATTTTTAACACAATGGCGAATTCTCTTAAATCTAAGATTGATAGACTATTTGCGGCTTATAAAAAGCGGATTGTAGAAAATCCTCAGCTGGTATCGGAAGTTGAAGTTGCGGTCAAATGGTTGTCTTACTTCAGTGTTGGTTAGAAAAAATGACCTTATATTTTACTGCAATTTTTCTTTTGGCAAATATAGTCTTAAACATAATCTCTTTGCAGGACATTTTAATAATTCAAATTTGGCCTTGGAAATTATTTATTCCATGCCAAATTTAATTATGTTATCCAATGATATGCTTATGTATCATAGCAGTAGCCCGCATCCAAAAATACCACAGTATGAATCAAAAGTTAAAATTTGGTTGACTGTGCTAGAATATACACAGACTTTATTAGAGGTAACAGGCAAAAAGTTAGGAGGAGAAATGGGAAGATGGATAATTATTGCAGTTGTACAGTTTTCCAAGTATGTGTGTATCTAGTGTATCTTGCGACTATATATATATATGTTTATATATATAAAATATCAAGTTATATTTATATAATTAATTTTTTTCCTTTTAGAGCTATATTGCGACTTTTATTGATTTATGTATATAAGGAACGTATAACAAAGAATCCTTCAGTGCCACCACTTAACAGAAAAATCTTTAATAAAGCCAGTGGTAACTTACAATCAAAGGAAGGATTTAGGTTAAAAAGATCTGGTGTTGTAGTTAGAGCTATAAAATATGCAGAACCTGTACAATTACGGACCTGGAAAGCTCTGCCTTCTGATACAGATGAGAATCAAAACTTTAGTAAAAACTATTTGTCTGATATAAATCTTAAGCTAGCTGAGGTTTGTTGAAATATGTTTTATAGTATGCTTTATGTGTAAGTGAATATTTATCATTAGTGTTTGATACAGAGAAGCAAAAATCTTATAATTCACCTAGAAATCTCTAACAAAATGTATATTTTCTAGAGTCTTTATGTGATAAAACCATTGATTTATCTTGGATGTATATCTGTTACTAGTCAACATCATTGGCAACCATGGATATTATCACTTCTTGTTGATTCAACTAGGTTAGCAATGTATTATACATAATTATTAAATTATCTGTATGATTTTTATGTTACTAATTTATCACTGTTTTTGTATAGCTTATATACCTTTGCGCGTTGCTCTCAGAGTACAGTATTTAGCAAAGAGGAGAATGTTGAACTTATAAGTCGAAAGATAAGTTTGCTGTTATACATCCTGAAATCGCCGTTTTACGAGAAGTATGGCCGTGCCAAGATAAATGCGTTGCTCGACAGGATATCTGCCTCTGTGCCTCTCACTAATTTATTAGTGAATTCTCTTAAGAGAAACTTGGAGTATATTAATAGTATGTATTTTTATACGTCGTAAATAATCCTATTACAAGTGAGCTTTGTACATTTGGGACTTACAAAGTGATCTCAGTGCGCGATTACAAAAAGTGCTAACATAATCCTGTACATTCCTAATACACAAATAATGGCAAAGGTAACGTATATAAAAATCAATGTAATATTTTTATATCTTGTATTATATCTTTGAAGGTGGAGAAAATTCAATACTTTATTGTTTATTATTATTACTATTATTCTCTTAAGTTTTAGAAATAAATTATGTGAAGAGAAGCAAGAAAAATAATGACCTTTCCTCTCGAACAGTGTCGATCACTGTCTCTTCTGTTTAACCCGTTAACGAACAGCGTTTTCAATATTTCTTCAATGTTTCGGATGTATTAATAGATTTCTGGACGAGTTGTCTACTGAAGGTTTGTCCTCCGATTCGCATCGCTCATGTAATGTTTATACGTATCAGATACGGTTACAGAGACAATTTGCGACTCTGTCACTTGTAACACTGCCGACGTTCTTTGCTAACAGATTTTGATACACAATGTTGAATACGCTGAATGTAACCAGCGATGCGTGATTCATGATCTGCTCGCACCGGTGAGTCTTAATTATTGACCTTCGCCGCGTATTTTCCGATGAGACAGGGACGACCTTGTTCCTTCTCCATGCCGGTTGAATGCGCGCGGTTATTTCGACCTGGGAAATACCGGCGCACGTGCTGCGATTTGTTGTACATATATGCGCGCAATTATAATTATCGGAAGTAATTTTCTGTTCTTTTCTTTTTGCTCACATTGCGCCAGATATTTTACACGTGTTGGCCACCGCGCATAACACCGCCAGCAGCGGCACGGCCACGGTGTCGTTACCGAGGCGTTTTTAACGCGCCGTAAAAGGTCATGCCATTATATTCCCATCCGGCAGGATGCGCAAGCTAATATGCTTCTCCTAAAGTTACGAACAACGGAAACGGTCTATCGCACTGCAGCGCATCGATGTATTTATGAATATATATATATATGAATGTGCGTAAAAACCCGCACGCGCTCCGTGAACGATTTATTTGGATGTCGGTAGTGTCCCACTCACAACGGCATCTTCCTCGTTGGATTCTCGAATCTTTGAGATGAATAAAATCCTACTGTACTTGCTGCCGCTGTGCGAGCTGCTGCAACGAAGTAACGCCTATCCGCAAACAGACGGTATCATTTTTGATTCTACGACTAGTTCTACGACTGCTACAATGGCAACAAGTACATATTACATTAAATATACACTTGTTATAGGATAACATTATATATTTTAAGGATAAGATGCGAAAGTGAGCTAATATTACATTACCTAATATATAAGACATATTATCATTTAAAAAGAAACAAAATTAATACAATACATTTCATTCAGTTTGTATTATTTCGCTAACGTTTTCGAAATATTTCATTCTTGCTGTTTTTTTAGCTACTTCCACAAATCAGCAATGCTTGTGTATTCCTAGAATCAGTTGTTCCAGCGGCGGTGGCGGCATTGATATCAGAATTGTTAATACGGTAGTATAATTTTATTTATAATTTAACAAAAGTTAAAATATATTTTGAGAGATATATAATTCTTTCACAAAAAAGTGTGCATCCATGCACAGTTATGATCAAAGAACTTTCCAGACTATCCTGAATTAATATTTTTTTAAATTGTAGATTATTTTAAAAAGTTGTACAAAGAAAAATTTTCTTTAATCCATATTTTCAAAATATTATATATCACAAAACTATGGAAAAAAATATTTAACATGTATATCTGTTATTTTTCTGTTTATTAGAATGATTCGAAAGTAGATCCTTTAATTATCAGTTATTAATTTTAATTAAATAAGCTATTAATTTATTTTACTATAAAGATTTATATATGTATATATATATATAGGGAAATACTTGTTCCCCTGGATATGTATATTGCTGTTCTGGCGGTTCGAATGGTGGTAATTCTTGCGGCATCAGAAAAATTCCACCCTCGTCGCATCCAGTGGGGCAAGCTGCGTATGGTGCATATCCATGGCAAGTGGCTATTTTAGCCAACGATAACAACTACATTGGAGGTGGAGTGCTAATCAGTCCAACGCACGTTCTGACTGTCGCTCATAAAGTGGCGAATTATGTGTAAGCATTATAGTTTAAAAATATGTATCATAAGATTATTTCTTATATTTCATATTTTAAATCTTATATTGTAGAGATATTTTCATTTTTGTGCGGCATAAATTCGCGAAAGAATAATTATCAAAGCATAATTATATTCTAATATCATATATCTCTCTCTGTATCTTAGGAAAAACGGACATTGGTTCTTTCTTTTTCAAGATACAAATATATATATATTTTAATTCGTCATTCTTTTATGATTCATCGAAAAGGTGTTGCGGAAACAGTATCAAAGCAAGGCTAGGTGAGTGGGACGCTCAATCTACCACCGAACCTGATCCGTACGTGGATATCTCCGTGTCGAGAGTTACTCTGCATCCTCAGTATAACTCGCAAAATCTGCAGAACGACATAGCGGTGCTCAAATTGAGTTCGGCCGCTCCAATCTCAACCAGTCCCAACATTAACACCGCTTGTTTACCGTCCGCTGAACCTGCACCAGGAACGAGGTATACATAATTAACGCATTCGGTATTTAGACGAAATGCAATTTAAAACAGTTTGCAATCCTCTGTCCATTTGATCTCTAAAAATGTAACGGCAAATATGTTGAAATATTTAGTATTTAATATTTAATATTTAGTATGAAATATTTAATATTTAGTATTATTTTGTATCTCTGAATATTTAATACGTGTCAAAATATTGGGAATTATTCTAATTTTGTAATAAGTATTACGATGTATACCTCGATAAACGATTCCATGACTGACGTTATGTTTCGATGTTAATATCTTTTAGATGTTGGGTGTCGGGTTGGGGAAAGGACGCCTTTGGACCTAACGGGAAGTATCAGAGCAAACTGAAGGAAGTGGATGTACCCGTGTTGGCTCGAGCGAATTGCCAAAATGATCTTCGGAGTACAAGACTCGGCCAGTTCTTCGTTCTGGACAACAGCTTTATGTGCGCTGGAGGGGAAGCAGGCAAAGATGCGTGCACTGTAAGAAAATACGATACATTGGCTGTCTCGTAAATATAAGTACTCAACATAATCGGGAACGTCGAGTCGTTTAAATTTAATTTAGCGTTTATTTGTTAAGGCTCCTAGGGACTCGTATCGTCCATCTTTTTTTAACGAAGAAGCGAGGAATATATTAACAATTCTTGCGAAATATTTCGAGATAAAAAGATATATTTACAAAATGACACTTGCAATCGATTTAGCACATCTCTAAAATATTCCGAAAACTTTCCTTTTGCTCTAACAATCAATAAATAACTAAAATTAACGTGACATACAACCTTCTTTTTTAACTTAATTTCCTCATTATTTTGTCATATTAATTTTGCGATTTGTGAATATATCTTTTTATCTCGACGTATTTTGCAAGAATTTTTAGCATACGTTTTCTCGCTTTTGACGTCATTAAAAAAAAATAGCCGATGCGAGTACACGGGAATCTTTAATTGCGAAGCTGCAGTAAGAGTCACTATGAATTTTTTTTTTGAAGGGCGACGGAGGTTCACCGCTGGTATGTTCGAATAACGGACCGTTCCAAATCGTCGGATTGGTGACATGGGGTATTGGCTGCGCAGGTGCAGGAATACCTGGTGTGTACACCAACGTGTTCAACTTTCTCTCTTGGATCATGCAACAAATGACATAGCTTATGGAATAACAGTTTGATGCCATTTTACTTATTTAATAGCTTCTGTTAGATTTAAATTTTGTATTCATCAAATGTGAGATTATTCTTTGTATTCATCGTAAAATATAGCATTTAATATGTATCATAGAAATAAAATAAATAGATTATATATAGCACAAATGTTATCGCGAAGTTTATGTTCTTCCTGTATCACTTTTACATCAGAATTTATAATTTCATATCAATAATTTATTTCAAAGAAAAAGAAAACATTGAATTATAAAGTCAGTTATTCTATTAGTACACAGTAAAAAATAAAAGGAAACTGTCAAATTATATCAAAAAATTGATATAATTAGTATTCTATTCTTTCAAAGGAAAACAGGAAGATAAATATTGATAAAATCGTTTATTTGAGTTAACATTTAATTTATATAATGTCGTCACTTTAAGCTTACAAAAAAAGAATTTTCGAAACGGACCATGGGAAGAGAACATGACTATTCAAATCTTGTTAATTATAGAAACTGTTCTTACAACTTACAGTTCTTAAAATTATAAATATTATGGTTATAATGTATAGAATATATATAAGCAACTTATCATTTACTTTTTACAATACTTTTTTTTGTAATTGGTCAAGCCTACAAGAAATACATAAAAAATATACAGACTTAACATTTGAGAATTATACAAAGAAAAACATATAGACAAGTATACTGAAGAGATTTGGTACTCTTGCTCATAGATTTGTATATTATCTTACTAAAACCTACGCAATGTAAACTAATCAATAAAAAAGTGCATATAAATAAAATTCAAAATAGCGTTCATACCATGGTCAACGTATCGGTCAAAATATATAATGAGATTTAAACAAAATTTATTTATAAATTAACTAAAATAGTTAATTTCTGTACTGTAAATTATGCATTCGAAGCCTTGTCACTTATAAAGAATATGTTCAAAATCAAACATCCTTATTACATTAGAATATTATCTAACATGATGTATTTGGTATTAACATGCCTTTGGCATTTAATTATCAAATATCTTAATTACGCATGTCTATAAGTAAAAACTTGATTGCAAATATGTCGTTTAGTTTCCTGCTATTAACTGCAATATTAATGAACTCTATGTAGATATACTCATTTATTGCATTTGTACAATAAATCGCGCCGCGTATTTTACTATGGAGGTAGATATTTGATAATGCAATGAGAACTCAGATAGTTGGTGTGTTAACGTGAGGGTGAGGAAGTTGGACGGAGTGATGCGAAGTGGGCAGTGACAGTAAATGTCCGCGTTCCATTTCATTGACTTCTTGTTGTTCTGCTCCTCCTATAGAGCCAGTTGAACGTGCCAGGCTATTACGTTGTCTGCACATATACGGCGTCTCTCCAGGTGAGGGAGTCTCACGACCCTGTGTCGCATAAGTTAGCATCCATGAATATCATATTTGCAAACCTCACCAGTATACGAGTAACGGGTACAACGGAACAAAAGTAGATTCAATTTTATAATACAGAAAAATGCCACATGTGCTAATAAATGTTTGCTAATTTTTTGCTTCTTTTAATACTTCTTTTAAAACTATTAATTATATATAATTTTTCTATAAATTTACTTTGAAATTTATATAGGACAAATCAAATAATCCAGATAAAATGGAACGCCGACTTTTTGAATAAATATAATGTCAAAGATTAAGTATATATAAAGCTTTATCGTATTTAGAAGATTTTTATTTCTCAAAAAATGTATATAACTGTACTTTGAAGTGGATGAAATATAGAATTTATGCTCCCAGATATAGTAGACGAGTAATCGCAACTTTCACCTATAGTCGTATTCGATTCTGATTTTATTCCTTCTAAACATCGACTGAAGTATTTAGACGAAGGGTACAAAGACCGGGAATTTCTATCTGTCTCCACATTAGACTGAAGAATCGAGAAATGTAGAGCATGAGTGATGTAGGAACAAAACAGAAATATTATAGCACTTACTTGCTTGGAAGGACCGCAACATGTTGCATGATTACAGGGTTTATCAGTCTTTGGACAATCCAACACGCAATCTTCCGTAGGAGTCTCTTTAATTTCGCTATTAGAGTGATACTGAAATACAGTACAAAAAAAATTAATATAATTATTTTCCCCTATTTCCTAAATATTTATTTAGCAAAATATTTATTTATCCTTTTTTTCATAATGTGCTTTTATATTATTCTTTGTTTATATATCATTATGTTTATATACATATATCATTTTTGCTTACGTCGATAAATTCTGGCTGAATAGTTGTAGAGTGTATACCCTCATTATGGAAAAACTCTTTAACTTGTTCGGCGATTTTCATATATTCGGAAAGATTCCTACATCTTATGTGTGCACTAGCTATAATACGATCACCTGCTAATTGCCACACATGGAATTCATGTACGGCTAATACTCCGTCTACATTTTCTAACAAACGTTGCTGTATAGCATCAACCTGCAAAAAATATGCAAATTAAAACGATATTCAAATATACTCTACTCTTTAAAAATTTTATACTAGCGCAATAAAATTAATAAAATATTACCTGAATATGCGTTGGCACAGTTTGTAAGAGAATTAAAGCGGATTCTTGGAGTAACGGCCATACCGAACGCAGAATAAGAATGACTAATAACAGCGACAATGCAGGATCAATATAGAACCTATGAAATGTAATAAGATTTAAAATTATATTTTCAGATGTGAATTTCAAACACACACAATATTGTTTTTAGTATTTTATGATTTAGTAATATACTTTGAGACATAGGATACTGACTGTTTAGAGAAGAAAATAAATATAATTCCTTTTATTTTTTTAACAGATTAATGCATAAATTTTATTATTTATATTTTTTGTAAAAATACAATTTTCCATATTTTCAGTATATAGTTTAAAAATATATTGAAATATTTTAATTTTTCATTAATAATTTTTTATTAAGAATATTTTCAAGTTGTTTCAATTATATATATTGCAATTGATATTGTAAAAGTAATTTCTTAGGAAATTTTTCTATCCTCTAATCATATTTATCGCTTACATGCCTAAGCACTAGTAAAATATTTTTATCTGTTCTCATCTATAAGATAAACTAGTCTGTTCGTTGAAAAGAATATATTTGTCGATCAAATCTCACTCTTACGATATTAATCAATTACCTATAATATGTCTAGATAAGATATCTATATAGGGTATATGTAATGGAGTATGTGTTTAAATATGTAATTACCTGTATTGCCACTCTGTGAGCCATACAATCAAGGCAGATACAATAACAATGACAGATCCTAATGCATCTGAAAGCACATGAAGAAATACACCTCGCATGTTCATTTGACTTGCATCATGTGTATGACCATGTGCTTTCTTCACTTGAGGCGTTGAAGGTCTGTAAGCTTCATCATTTTCATTATCATCTGTACCTACTAGAGTGCTCAGTCTATTATGACTTCGAGATATACCATGTGAGTGACCATGAGCACTTCCATGTTCTGTAATTATATTGAACAGTTTAAATATTTGCGGTTTGTATCAGTAAAATCAATTAATCTTATCAAGTTTCATTAATTAACAGAAAGCAAAAAGCTGTTATACTCTTGTTAGATACTACAAATACAAAATAATAGAACTCTGATAGATATAAACGTATTTATACTGATAAATCTATTTCCATTCTTATTTCTATAAAAAAAAAAAAAAAAAAGAAACAGTTGATCATATTTATATATAAGAACTAACTTTTTGTTTGTTCAAATATATTCATACATATTATACTAACATATATATATATATACATATATATGTTAGTAAATACAACTTAACAAGTTGTATTTATTAGATAAGATTTATCTATTTTACCAATTAAAAGAAATTTAGATTGAGCAAGCTATAAAATTCGTCAAGTACAATAAGTGTAATCTTTCTGTAATCTTTGAGTATAAATTCATCACAGCATCCACATTATAAACATTCATATTTTTGTCACGTATCTACAGAAGTTTCATATTTCAAATCCTGCTGTGTCAATACTTCTTGGATACACACACATATACATATATGTACATATATGAAAATATATACTCAACAATCATTTTTTCTTTATCTTGCTTCAAGACAAAATCTTTTGAATATCAATAACAAGATAACATCATGAAATTGTTAGACAAAGAAATATTATATCAAAATAAATTTCATATTTATAAGTATATGAAATTTTTTTTTAAATCTTAATAAAAATAAATAAAATTTATTGTACAATATATGCAGCAATACTCACCATGGAATAAACATAATCCTATCACATTCACCAACAAACCAAGAGCTCCAACTGCCACAAGAAGTTTAGCTTCATGTATTTCTTCTACCTCAATAAATCTTTTACACGCTTCCACAGTAATACTAAAACACAGAGCAACTAAGAAGACAGCATTTACCAAAGCTCCTAATACTTCTGCTCTGGCCCAACCAAAAGTGTTCTTCGACCATTTTTTCGGTGACATCTACAGTACAAAAATCAAAGATTTAAGATTTAAGGATTCAACGGTATTGTTATACAATTAAATATTGAAGAATAAAGTTTGATAAGATTAGACAAAAATGTTGAAGCTTACTTTTACCGAAAGAAATGCTACCACTAAAGCAGCAACATCCGATAACATATGGAAACTGTCTGCTATTAATGCCATTGAATTGGTCACATAACCCACTACTATTTCCACTAAGAAGAACAAGGCTGTTAGCCACAACATTGTTAACAGACGACATTTTTTGCCTGTGTAACGACCCATGATATTTGTGCAAATCTGTAAAGATTGTAAATAAACATGGAATTTTTCTAATAGTAGTGTGTAACTTTTTTTATTATTATTAATAAACTGTTCTAAGAGTGTGTAACTCTTTTTATTATTATTAATGTAAACATATGCAATTGAATATATCTTGTCATTATATTATAAATGTTCATACTCAATGCACAAGTACGAATGAGGAGGAAGTGTCAGCAGTAAGAAATCTTCTGTCAATAGAAGGATCAGTGATGCTTAATAATGCAAAATTGACGGAAACTTTTAGCACTATCAAAGAACAAGAGATTCAATCAATTCTAATACACTATCTTCGCATGCTCTTTGTTTACTTACGAGAAAGATACGCAAATTATAGACGATTCTTCGACATGAGGAATAACGACTTGGTTCACGATATCGGGCGGCGCGATCGCGGAACCAAAGCGATTCTCTCGCTCGGGTGATCGAGGGCGACTAGGTCGCGCGCGACATGCGCTCCGAGTCGTCACGCGTTAAAGCAATTTTTTCCTTATATCCATTCTCCATAAATCCGGTATGACAATGGGAGAGACAGAAGGAAAAGGAAGAGAGATAGAGGGACCAGAATGAATCACCGGACATCGTGGCAAAGCAAGAAAGGTACGTGAATCATTGCAAAAAAAAATATGTCATAGATCGGGAAACTGTTGTGTATTGGAGCGAAAAATCAGCTTCGATCTCGTCCACTTTATGGATATTCGCGATGGGATTATCGCGCGTGCTTCTCTATCAAGAAGAGGGAAAGAAGAGCAAGCGAGCGTGCATGCGTGCTTGAGTGCGTAAGAATGCACTCACCTGCAGGAGAATTCGTCGAGGCTGTCCGAGTTGTCCACGCGTCCCGTCGCAGTCGTATCAAGTGACGCTGATTAAATACGAAGTGTGGGAAATATTCCTGAACATGTTCCACGCTCGAAGCGGTGCGTGTCGCGACGATTGCCAAGGGCGAGCATCGATCCTTGTATCACAAAATTGTGCGACTCCAAAACATAAATATTTACTCCATTGTTGTACGATCATACGTACATGTAATACGCCTCGCTGGCGAATACTGACGCATACACGATAATGTTTCACGGGCGTTCAAAGCCAACTGATTCACCCCTCACCAGCCATGACGAACGTGACTGACTCGAATGTAACTGGCAGCACGCAATGCAAAGCTCCGACGGAACTTCACGTTACAAAGGGCTCACGTCGCGTGCCCGATGTCCGATCTTACATTCGCAGACAAAATGTTTGCGATATTATCGTTTCGATGAATTTCGAGACACGCTCGTTGTCCAATAGACGCGCCCGTGTCGAGAGATTTGTAAGAACATGACTCTCTCATTGGATGTCGAGCGCGTTCCGAAACTCGATATTAAACACTACGGTCGATGGTGCAACTTCACACTGTACATGATGCGTCTTGATGTAGGCCACTGCGTCTGCGCACTCAATCTAACCTTATTATTTAGACCACTAGTAAAATTTAAAAACAAGCATGTTAAATTGGCATTAGATCGTTTCACAGATTTTGTAATATTTGAATCTTCGATAGGAATTACAGCACAAGTAATTTCTACTTTTATTTTTTATTCTTTCAAATCACACACACACACACACACATATGCTCTAATTTATCCCATAAAATTTCGTTAAAAAGATTGTAGAATGTTATGTAGATTATTTTATGAATAAAATCCATAGCAAATTTGTTCACGAGCTCTAAACAACGTCTGCAATTATATTTAGAAAGAACATTTTTTACAGAAACAAGCAACATATTTTTTAAGAAAGCTTATATACTTTGTGCTTTGAAACAAAGTTACCCTTTGTATAGATGCAGAGAAAACTACGTAAAAATAAAAAATTTTTAATATATTCTAAACATGGAAAGACTACTTGAATTTTTCTCAGTAAGGCAAAATACAAGATAATATTAAAACAAAGAATTTTTTAATTGAATATCTGTTGAATACTGGTCTGTTCTGACCAATTGACGATAGTTATGTCGCGTGTATTACATTGTGAGAATAAACGCATTGTGAGAATAAACGATTAATAGCGAGTTGTATCTTTATTATTTCAAATATTTGTAGCACAGGCACAATACGTTCAACTTAATGCTTCCGGGGCACTTGATGAACCCGGAATTGATCATTCGATCTAAACGTCGGACACATGTAATATCACATGTTTTCGCAACGACGTGAGGTGTCAGAAAATCACTTTCGAACGCAAGGTGTACGTGTGAAAACAGAATTCTCTCTCATCGTTTCTTTCCATTTAGCTTTCCTGTTACACAATTCCGCAGCGGCTTTTGGGTATATCGGCGAATCCTTCATATAAAAAGTTTACGCAAATAAAATATACAATTAGATTGGACGTAACGCGTGTACAAAATTGGGATATCTAGGCACAACGTAAGTACATGTATTAAAATTACAATTTTCCTTTATGACAATTCTACAAAATTGAAATAAAACACCGTTTGTATGGTAAACGCTGAACTCGGCAGTGGTATGATGCCGGTATAAATTTGTTCGTTAGAGAAATGAGAAATACGATGAAGTTCCTAGAGTCTATAAATTTTTGGTACTTTTTCCATTGTCTATGAGAGAAAATCAATGCCCGTTTCTACAAATTTTTTTCTACACTTTCATCGAATATACATCAAATACCAAAAAAGCAAAGATAAACATATCCAAAAAAATAAATGCGTCCAATATGAAATCAAAAAGATTTCATTATATCACCGGAACTAGAGACTTAATATCAAATACATACACACACACACACATACAATACGCAGCCAAACGCACACGCGTACACACACATACTTGTACGAAAGATAGAAATATTACGTATGTACAATGCAAATTACAATATTTATGATACAAAATATGATTTTATCTTTTGTCATTTCAAAAACCAATTTATAACTTTACTTCCTGCATTTGAATCATAATTGTTCTTCGAATATATTTTTGTATATAATATAATTTTCATGTTTTGTTATAAAATATAGTGATGTAAACAGCCAAATATCTCTAACTTTTAGTGATCAAAGTATAACATGAAACAAGGTTTTGTTTAGCATTACAAAATAAAAGACTTTAGCACCATTTCTAAAAAATAATGGACGATCTATGAAAATTTTTCATAAATGTAGAAACTAACACTTATGATTATTATAGGTTATCATATTTAATTTACGCTGTGTAAATGCGCTTATTCTTCACAAAATGGCAGAATAAAAAATGCGAAGAATATTATTGAACACGTAACTCTCTTAAACTTAACTTTATACAAACAATAGTGCGAGCTGCATCAAAATAGTGAGGAATATATTTTGCATTCAATAATGCTACATTATATTTCGCGATTAACATTATATTGATTAAAAACGTGAATAAATTCAGTATATTAAAATTACTACAGCTATTTACACTAAAAGAAAAAAAAAAGCTTCTTAACATCTGACAGAAAGCAAATAAGAAAATAAGAGTTCTCACCTCATTGAAAATAAAAAAGAAATTATTTACACTAAAAGTTCTATAATAATCTAAAATTTCGGCTTTCGTTGTAAGATATTTTACCATAGTTTATTCGCGTTTTTCTTTCTAATAAAGGCAAATCTCTTTAAATTCGTACCGAGAAAATGCGGTTTCTGCGTTTGATACTTTGTTACAGGAAGTAGTTCGAATATGTACCTCTACAATTAATTATCGTTCATACGATTTTAATTCGAAATGCATTTTTTCGGGATACTACGCCCAGCTCTGTAATACCACTGCCGGGTTACGGAGATGAACGGGGTCCAGAGTACCATACGTTTGAATTTATTACAAAGTCACATTTATTATCTCGCATCAGCTATTTCAGCATCATCGATAATACGAACCTGCTAATTCTATGTACACTTTATCGCCTGCGCGCGCGTCTTTTTCTGTTCTTTTGAAATAAAACATAATTATTGGTAATAATAATAAGATATCTCAAATCTTTCGAAATTTCTTCTTCCCCCTTCCCATTCTCTCTCTCTCTCTCTCTCTCTCTCTTTTACTTTCACCTCGTTGATATATATTTTAATTTTTTTTTGTTTTAATAAGTGTGCTGAAAAATCGGTATAAATGTAAACCTACGAAAAGGAGTAATATTATCGCAATAGTCCATCGTAGCTTAGACAAAATTTGGAAGAACTGTAACGCCGTTGTTCTCGCGTTTTTTTTCCCTATTTCTACTATTGCCAACGCTATTTTTATCCAGTTTTAGAAAATCGAACGAATATTCTCGTTAAATGATTATTCTCTATGTCACGAGTACGGATCGACCTAAATACGTCACAGTTTACGATGTCGAGCACCATTTGGCTGTCGATATTAATTAACAGCGATTGAACAAACGAAATTTCGACGAGTCTAGAATCGTTGCCCCGTTTCTTTCTCTTCGTTCGTTTCTCTCTTTCTTCCTTATTTTTTTCGATTCACTATCAATTATGCTACGTTTTGCGACGTTGTCAGTAAACTTCGGTCGATATTAAATACGAGCTAATACCTAATTACTTACGTCTAAATCACTACCATCGGTACTATCAACGATGAGCTTTCAGTTAGTTTTTCTCGCTGCATATCGCGATGTCGGCAGCTACGGACACTTGACTAATACTGAATGACGTTGACTCATTCTTTTCTAAGTTCTCGCTAACTATCCACTATCGTCGTATTCACTGTACGCGTCTAACAATTAATTTAATCCAAACAACGTTTCCCTATTTGATCTATCAATATTCTATCAACTGTCCTAGCGACCAACATCGTGCTCAAGACAGCGGTAACAATTTGTTTATATAGAGTGCTACAGGTCTTCCACAATTTTTCTAAGATAGTAGTAATTACTTCGTAGTAATAGTTTTGCTAACCAGCGACCACCTCGCCCCACTTGGCTTGGGCTGGGATCGGGAAGCGTGGGGCGGCGGTATGGTACTTCCTCTCTTTTTTTTCTTCCTCTTTTGATTGGTATTCGATCTAAATCTAGTATTTGGACGAAGTGCGAGGATGGGTCGTGCGTGCTTTTGCTTCCTAAATCGAGCGTGCGAAATTCTTATAATCTTTTTTTCATTTTTTCTTCTTTTTACTTTTAGCCGTAAGCTTTTTTACTTTCTTGTTTTTCCTTGACCAGTTATGCGATTTACCTTCGTTAATTAATTCATACTCAATACGTATATTCTCGGAAAAAAAGAGAAAAGTAAAAAGAAAGAGAATATCGTTATTACAACGGAATCTCGATGTAATGCCAGATTCGTAGAATCATGAAAGTAAAAAATTCTTAATTTGCAAAAAGAATTGTTAAAAAATGACACTCTCTTCATTCAGTCGACCAATTGAAGTATTTAATATAATATGAATATAATGCTGAATTTCTGTAGCAGAACTTCTGAGTTACAAAAAACTTTGTATTTGACTTTGTAGTTGACTAACTATTCTAAACAAATTTATCATTCTTCACTGACTACGAGTCCGAAAATATTTGATGAAGTACACATGAATAAAGGTATTACTATAGATATAATTAAAAATAGATAAAAGATGAAAAAAATGAATAGTTAAAAAAACATAAGTACGTTGTGTTTCTTCAACGTAGCGAATAACGCTGTATTAACACGCTGGACAGATATCCGTTAAAATGAAGAAGATGCTACTACATCAAATCACTACATCAAATCAGTGTGAAGTATTATTTTCACACAAAGAACTGACAGAGTTGATGCTCGTACGAGACTACTTAGTTTTACTCGTACAGCTAAGCTCTGCTCTATTCTGACGCGGACGAGACATGAATCTAATTAGTGAAAATACGTGCGAACGATAAGTAGCCGAGATAGCATTACATCGAGTTTCTGTACGTGTGAAAAGAAGAGAACAGCAGAAAATTATGGAGCAGCCCTGAGAGAGAGCGAACAACGCGTCTGGGAATAGTGCATGTGCGCCTGTGTGTGTATGTTTGTTGCGTGTCTGTCTGTCTGCCTCTGTGTATGTGTATGTGTGAATATATGGATCTCATGAAAACGAACGTTTTATCACTCAACGTGTAAATTGCGAATTTACTTATTATTTACTCCTTTAACGTTTACTTTAACCTCAAGTCTTAAGAGTCGTGTGACGAGAATCTGCGCACCCGTGCCTCGAGTTTGTGTACAAGTGACAACCTTCTACGCTGAATATCGACACTTCTGCAACAGAGAATTAAAGGAACGGATACGTGAGATACGCTAACCTGCAAGCAGCATTTTGCGTGCAAATGGGAATTTCATGCAAAAAAACTTACCGTCAGGTAATTCATATAATTTCCTAGGAAGAGAGGCAAAGTAGGGGTGTCGTAAAGCTTCTTCTGCTCCTATTCGCTGATCAGGATTCAGTTGCAGGAGCGACGACGCCATACTGTCACCGTCGGTGATGTCGTACAGCCGTGGAAACGAGAGACCCAGCTTTCGCGGCGGATAAAATAACAGTCTGTGCGCCTTATACCCGGGTAGATGCGTGACACCGGGCCAAGTCTCTTCGGTAGGTGTACCCAACACGCTAAATATCTTATCGAGCTGGTTGTACGTACAACGTACACCTGGGAATGTCGGTTCGCCAGTTAACATTTCCACAAATATGCAACCTACTCCCCACATGTCGAGCGAGGTGGAGTACTCTGTGGAACCTAAAAGAACGTCGGGCGGTCTATACCATAAGGTCACGACTTCGTGTGAGTATGTATGTGATGGCACGGATTTGGCCCTTGCTAGCCCAAAGTCTGCCAATTTAAGTTCTCCTATCTCGCTGATTAACAAATTCTGTGGCTTTACATCTCTGTGCAGTACCCTCCTAGATGCATTAACACAAATTAATCACGCATATCACGGGACGAGACATTGAGACATCGTAATATACCGGTATACTCGTAATCACCTGCGATGACAGTACGCCAGTCCTCGTAACAGTTGAAAGAGAAACAATTTGACGTTACGTGGATCCAGTCCACCGTTGCCGCTCCCGTACCTCTCCATGTATTGTGATAAGTCGGTGTGAACATACTCGAATACGAAAGTGAGTGTCTCGCGTGTATGAATGATATCGTGCAGAGTCACGATATTGCTGTGTTTCAACTCTTTGAGGAGACTCGCCTCGCGAATGGCAGTAAACGGAGCTCCTTCCTCCTCTTGCAGTCTAATTTCTTTAAGAGCCACCACCTGATTGGTGAGATGGCTATAGCCTTTGAACACTGTGGCATATGATCCCTCTCCCAACTGCTCTAGTTTTATATAAGCTTCGGATTTACCGAACGGCGAATCTCCCTGTAAAAGAAAAATATAGATTAGAGATATATCTTTTCAGAGTGAAATTTGAATGTGATAGTTGAAATTTGTAACGTAAATATTACCCCAAAAGCGGAGAATCGTTTAGTTCTTCTAGGTGGTGGGTCCGGACCGAGGAAAACCTCAGATTTCGGCCGCGGCGGACGCCTGGGTCGTAGGATTACTCTCGCTTCTTCCCGTATGTCGTCGTCGAGAAGCTTGGAATCGCTAGAAACGGAAAGCTGCCGATGCACTCTCTCGTGATCGCCCACACCTGTCCATTCTGTGACATCCAATTTTTTTTTTTAGAATATTCTTAAAATAACAGTAATATAAAATACACAGATATAATTTAAACACATAGATAAACATACATAGATATAATTTTAATACGCAAAAATTTTACAATGTACAGATATCCTCTTTATTTTGATTATTAAAAAAATATATAATACATGTATATCCCGATTTCACTTACGTGTTTGAATAATCGTAAAAGATAGTTGTATTTTTATAGAATTTAATTAAATAATTTTCAATAAATTTTTTTCTAAATAATTTCTAAAAATTTCTTTTTGTTATTATATACAAAATGAATTTCTTTCATATTCTCACCTTATTTCAATAAATAAAGGGATTAAAAGATATACTTACATATTTATAAAAAATATATAATATCACACAAAGTAAAAAATGTGTAAAAATGTGTACACATTTTATTATATATTTGCGAGTTTATTTTTTAAATAAACTCACCATAACGGCGATCTTTGTCCGCAGGTATATTGCCATTTGGCTCCAAGCGGTCTAGGAACTCCTCAGAATAGCCATTGTACGGTAATTGGCCTCTAGTTGTAGCATCATCAGCCTCTTCTTTTGATATAGCTTTAACAAAATAAATGACATTTTGATATAACGGTTATAATTATTTTTAGCTAGCAAAAATAATGAGTAATTTAATTTAATAATTAATAATCACACTAGTAAATATTTAAATGAAGATTTTTATACTCCACTAAGGCATATCTGTAACAATAATAATCAAATATATAAAAATATTTAATTAATCTATTACATTAATTAATCTATTTACAAAATCTACTTACAAATAGCAAGATTAGTTTGGTATACAACTTCTATTAATATCATTTTAAAATATACTAAGAAAACATGAATAATTTATTTCTCACCTTATTTTATCATATATATAATTTACTTAAACTTTTATATAAGTGTTATATATATATTTTTACACATTATATATAAAATTTCAATATAAAATAAGATACTCACACAGCCGCCCGAAACTGTGACTGAGACGTTTCTTTAATTTTTGTACTCTGCTGAGAGCACCGCCCTTTTTTTCCCGCATTGTCACAGGCCCTGCACACAAAGAACACAATATTTAGACAGCAATAGAATTGAAGGACTGAGCAGAGTAAGTTTAAACAGCATGACATATTATGATGGAAGGCCAAGAACATCAGACTAATTCAGACACGACAGATCATTACATGTGTGATGATGTCATACACTATGCTATGCCAGTGCTCCTGGATCTTAATAATAATGATGATAGAAGCATATATGTATCATGGACATTCCTTTTAAGCTATTCTGCAAAGAACATAATAGCTTAAGAAATTGTTATATAATTTATTAATGAAGAAAGAACATAGTTATTATTTATTTCACCTTAATTTAATTGAAAAAATTTTACATTTGTTCAAATTTTTTCATTAGACAATTTTTAGATGAAACAAAGCTTGATACTTTTAGATCATTCTGTGTAAATAATTCATACATATACAGAGAAGAAGAGAGAGAGAGAGAGAGAGAGAGAGAGAGAGAAAGAGAGATGCAGATAACAGGTAAATACAACAGATAAAATAAAACAGATCATGTTCAGTTCCTATGACAGCTGATAAAACAAACTGATATATAAAGAGTAACCAAAATGGAATGATTCAGTTTATTCTGAATACAGATCATTCATTCATTCATAAGATCATGGAGGATAACAGGTTTCTACAAAGGTGAAAGTATATATTCTTGACTGTATACGCAAATACATATATCTTGCACATACAGCATCAATTCACTTGATATAGCAAACTGTGATTTTTCATAAAGTTGTAAAGTGAATTGACCAACAGTTGCTGAACACAATTAAAACTTTGAAACTTCGTCATGACACACATATACGCACACACATCGCATACGCAAACAGCAGCAGTTATGCACACACGTATACACTGCAATCGCAGTACGGGTCAACGAACTAATAAATATTAATCTCGCTCGCGTCGAATAACTATAGGCAAAATTACATAGAAATTTTCGAGCGCCAATTAACATAGCGACGTGTGTTCGTTTCTTGCTCGTTATGCACCGCGCGTTATGCACCGCGCTGTCGCGCCGCTTGTTGCATCTGTCGCGCGATTCAAAAATACAGTAGTTTTGTAGCACGATGCTCCGTTTTTTCTACACGTTCTTCACTTGGCCCGAGGTGATAAGAGCGCGATAAGCAACCAACGTGTCTCAACTGTCGCGGTTCTACGAATCTACGTGAATTCATTTGTCACGCCGGGTGAGAAGTGATGCGAGAAGAGCGCGAGATCGGAGTTTCTCTTGTGCGAGATACCGGAGCTTCGTCTTTCTTCCTCCTCCGTAGTAACATCGGTAAGCGATACTGTACACGCACATGTGTGAGTATACATACATACACATGCGCACATGCATTCTCTCTCTTTCTTTCCTCCCATCTCCATCGCACTACCGATGGTTGTCACTCCATCCTTCTTCCATCTTTGCGATCCCGGAACGGAACTCGCTCTCTCGCTCTTTCTCTCTCTCTTTTACCCGCTCTCACCCTCTCTCTCTCTCTATCTCTCTTACCCGCTCTCTCTCTCTCTTACCCGCTCTCACCCTCTCTCTCTATCTCTCTCACTTTGTTCACATGCGCGCACAAAAGCAACTGATAGCCGATAAGGAATATAAAAAAGCCGGAATGTCATCGGACGAATGCAATGAGGAAATGCGCGACCGGTGCATTCGCACGACTTACCCTCTTTGCTCTTGGAGGCAGTCGAGCCCTTGTCCGGACAGTGCATGATTACTCATTCGCTCGCACGCACGGGACACATCACATATGGGCGGTGACGCACTCGAGTGCGTGCCTGTGTGTGCGGCGCGTACGCTGCCGTCGTCGTCGTGTGTTTTCTCTCGGCCGATGCTCCTGCTGACACACGGGCGGCGTGTTGTCGGTTCGCTCGCTCTTTCGCTCACTCGTGCGGCGCTCTTACGTCGCTCGTCCTGTCTCGTACCTCGGTGGCGGCGCACGCACGACTCCCGTCGTGTCCGCCGCGCGCCATGAAAGCGCCTATCAGATTCTCCCCCGTAGACGATCGCCGGATGCACGGACGGAGCGCGGAATCACTGTTACCACACTGCGCGAGAGTTATTCGCTCTGTTTGAAGAGACGACAATCGGCACTACGAAGATCACCTGGCCGGGTGCACACAATGGTGCAAGGTTCACGTCGATGCACTCACTCTCTTTCTTTCTTTTTCTCTCTGCTCCCCCTCTCTTTCTCTCTCACCGGGAGATCACCGCACCGTAGATCACCACCGTCGTCGGCCACCCTTCTCTCCTCTTTCTCCTCTTCCTCCTCCTCCTCCTCCTCCTCCTCTACTTGACTCTTTCGTTGCGCTACCCTGCTGACGGTGGGTGCTCGCGCACGCCACCACTATCTCCAACGTATCATCCGTGATCCGGTCGACTCCTTGTCGAAGAAGCGCCTTACTTGCCGCGGATAATGCTATCCACCGTCTCCTGCCTCCACCTCCTCCTCCTCCTTGCACCGCACACAAAAGTCGCAAACTAGCCGATTCCTCTCGAGACAACCGTGGTGTGCGTGACACAACCTAGAACAGCAATTACGACGTCGCTGATCGCTTTATCGCACACGGTCGTCGCGATGCAGTCAATTCTCTAGATGCATCGTATCCTATTCGTAAAGTGACTGGCAATAGGTAAACTACAAACAGAATAAAGTTGCTCTAGGCGAGCAACCTAGGACGATCATTCATAATCGGATTTTACATTTAAAATCGTCTTAAGTTCATCTTCAGATACTATACGGATCGTTTTATTAGGCCTGTTCTTTATAGCTGCACTGCTGAACTAGTGCAATAAGTTAGAGTGAGAAAACTTATATTTGTTTCACTTCAATATATTGCACCAGTTCAGCAGTGCAGCTACAAAGAACAGGTCTATTGGCTATGGAACATCTGAAGATGAACTTGGACGATCTTATAGCCGTATCACACTAGCAACTCGCGACTGCGGCTGCGATTATGTCTCTTGACCAATGAGAAAAACGGTAGTAGCTAGCAGCTTCTTTCTGACTGATCAAGAGACATAGGGTGTTTACGATAATTCGAGTTGGAGTTAGTACGAATTAGTTTCACTAGGGCTGAAAAATATGATAGTCACAAGCATCTAGTATTTTCATGATTCATGACAACTCAATGCTGTCCGATAAATCGAGTAGAGTAGAGTAGAGTAGAGTTAGGGTAACATAGTGGATAGTATATGTATAAAAATTAACAGTATCAGGTAACATAGTTTCGTAAAATATATAACAATAATATTACTAAACAATGAGTTGTTGCATTTTAGAAAAATTAGAAGCACTAAATTAAATTATGAAAAGGTATCATGTATTTGTGAAATATCCAAAAGTAGAAAACAATTATTCTAACCTATTATTATTGAATATTTCACAAATACATTAAATTAATATCATTTTCATAATTTAATTTAGTGCTTCTAATTTTTCTAAAATATAATAAATAATTGTTTTGTAATATTATTGTTACATATTTTACGAAACTATGTTATCTGATACTGTTAATTCTTATACATATACTATCCGCTATACTACCCTAACTCTACTCTACTCTACTCGATTTATCGGACAGCATTGAGTTGTCATAAATCTTGAAAATACTAGATGCTTGTGCCTATCATATTTCTCGGCCCTAGTGAAACTAACTCGTACTTAATCCAACTCGAATTATCGTAAACAGCCATAGTCGCAGTCGCGAGTCGCTAGTGTGATGCGGCTATTAAACATAAGCGCCTACGCGCTGTAATGGAGAATTTAGGCTGAAACACAATACGCCGTATATCGAAGTTGGATGTTGGAACATAGCCGATGGTCCAATGAGGAGAACTCATTCTCAAAAAATAAATTCTTTCATTGGACCATCGGCTGTGTTCCGACATGCGACAGCAACATATGGGCTGCGTTCCGAAATTCACTGCCAGTATTGAAATCCTATAATATACCTATAACATGAACTATAGATTTTCAGTACTGGCAGTGCATTTCGGAACGCAGCCGTGGCGTATTGTATTGGGAGCGGTGCACTTGGACACGGTGCATTTGGACACAGTCAATCACAGCACCGTGTGATTAGAGACATTTGTAGGGTCCCTTGGAACAGCGACTTGTGATTGGACTGTGTCCAATTGCCCCGTGTCCAACTGATATACACCCATTGTATTCCAGGCCTTATGCAGGATTTACATCGCGTCCGATGTCTGACGTACGACGTTCGATATTCAATTGGAGAACAGCTTTCTAACATAGAATTAAATTCTTCATTGGAAAGCTATTCTTTTACCGGACGTCGTACGTCGGACATCGGACGCGATGTGAATTTCACATTATGACTCCTGCACACAGGACGCGGTAATGCTTGCCGCGTGGCGGAAGTCCGCGCGACAGCCAATCAATATGTTGTTTTTCTGTAAGAGCTAGAAGGTTATTACGGAAAGCAGCATATTGATTGGCTGTCACGCGAACTTCCGCTGTGCGGCAAGCATTACCGCGTCCTGTGTGCAGGAGCCATTAGAGTGCGAACCCATGCAGCGGAATAGCGGAGCGCGGAACGAGAACGGAACCAATCACGAGCGTTCCGCAGTTTTGGTTACACAGATTTTCAATCCCTAAGTATAGAGCGAAATGAGCGTAAGCGGAATGAATAGCACGTAACTAAAATGACTTTTAAATTAATGTTTTATTACTTGTTTTTATTGTTATGTACATAAATATTTAATTAAATGTGTTTTGTATTGAAAAGATTGACTGAAAATGTTAAAATCTATAAATTAAGTTTTAAGGCGGTTGTAACTTTTTGAAATAATGACTCACGATTGGTTGAGCAAAATCCGCGATGTGCTTATTCCGCTCCATGGGGATTTAAGAGTTCCTGTTTCAATGCTAAAAATGACGGATTTGTACATATATGTTATGCATCCATTGTTAAATTCATGGCATAGCGGTTATGTTGTGCTGAATACTCTTACGAAAAAGATACGAAAAAACCCTCAATTTGGGTGCTACCATTCAAATTTATGTGTTTATCCTCAATTTTTGGGTGTTTACACCCAAAATTGAGGGTTTTTTTTCGTAAGAGTATTAATAAACTTGGCCAGCTGGATTGTTTGTTCTTTTTAATTTGAGGTTACATGGACCTACGTCTATTGTATGATAGAAGTATGTATATATTACGCAGTCTGCGACAAAACTATTCCGCAGATTCCGCTAAAAACTGTTAAAAAAAACGCGGAACGCTCGTGATTGGTTCCACTTTCGTTCTGCGTTCCGCTATTCCGCTGTATGGAATCCGCCAATGTGGATCCGCGATTTCCATCTAGGTGGAGACATCTTGCGGATTGAAGGAAGTTTATTGGGGTTGATATAGGGTTTGTTTTCTATTGCTAAACTAAAGTGTACATACACTTTCGGAACTTAAAAAAAGATAGATATACAGATAAAACTTGGTGGAAGAAAGATGAGGAAGAAGTGCAGTCCAGGGCTGCTATTCCATTCCCGCGTACCGACAGTTGTCGAATCGGTAGGCGTCGTTACGCAGCTTTTTTATACCGTGGAAAAACTGCGCAACGATCTGATAACTGTCGGAACCACGGTAACGGAATAGCAGCCCTGGGCTGCACTAGTTCTTCCTCATCTTTCTTTTATCAAATTTTATCTGTATATCTATCTTTTTTCCGAAAGTGTATGTACACTAGTTCAGCAATAGAAAATAGACCCTATATCAATCCCAATAAACTTCTCTCAATCCGCAAGATGTCTCCACTTAGATGGAAATCGCGGATCCACATTGGCGGATTCCACATTCGCATTCGATGTGGATTGCATGCCATCTAGATATTTTCCCCGTTCGTGATTGGATGCACTCCCGATCGCCTGTCTACGTCTCTGGCCATGTTCTCGCGCGCCGTTGCACGTGTAGGTGTACGCTGTCGCTTTGTGAGTCAGCAAAAAGGGAAGGGAGTCGGCGATAATTTGTTGCAGCGGCTGTTGCTAGTGAACGTTACCGTCAGGAACGGCAAGCAGGTCGCGCGTTACAGTACGAACCAAGTCGCGAGCGAGTCGAGCCGTGCGACGATGTCGAATAATGAGAAGAAGCCGTTTCGCCGTCTGCCAACGACCGTGTGTCCCTATCACTATGATATCACGCTGACGCCGAACCTTTCCACTTTCACTTTCGACGGCACGGAGAACGTGCATATCGACGTAAGTTCGGCCGTTCGGTTGCTCGAGCACATTACTTTCGGTCTGCTTGTTTTACTCGTCGACGATCGCTCAGCGAGCTGAGTGACAAGAAAGCGCCGCTAACCATATGGCGAACATAACCAAGAAACTTGGCGCTTCTTCGCGAATCTACTCGATTAATGTTTAGATTTTGTTAGTACGATACATGTGTACGTACACACATACACATGTACATCCTTATCTCGTAATTACGGTCTAGATCTTCCGACTAGTTGCTTATTAACTGAGAGATTGTGCGATGATGTTTGTCCAAGTTATCTGCCTCTTATCTTGAATTAGACTCTTGACAGTATCTTTCCGTTATCTTTGAAGAGGTGACCACTTTATTTTCTGACGGTTAATTTCTGAGTTACTGAGTGAATATTTCACTGATTCTTTCCTTTTTTTGGGGGGATATAGGTAAACTGCGCAACTGACACCGTTGTCTTAAATTCGTTAGAAATTAATATAAAGAGTGCAACATTCAATGGAAACGATGGTGAGACCATTCCCGCCGATAAAATTGAATTGTCGGCATCTGAGGAAACGGCCACTTTGGTGTTTCCTAAAAATCTACCCCTTGGTAAAAGTGGGTACCTGAATCTCGAATTTGTGGGTGAGATCAATGACAAGATGAAAGGCTTTTATAGAAGCAAATATTGTGGGTAAGAATATAATTTTAGTGGTGTGTGATATGATAAAATAAAAAATTTATTATCCTGATTTATTTGATTAACAAAAGAATTTTCCACTATGTATTACAATCCTCATTTGTTAGTTTTAATACTTGGAAGTTATGTAACAGTTGAGTAAATAAAGACATTTAAATTAAATCTTCAATCTTTTAAAAGTGAAATCATGCATATTATGATCTAATCTATGTCTTATATCGACATATGTATTATATTCATATTGTGCTATAGTAACTGTTGTATAGTAAAATATTTGGTAATTTGTTTTCATTTCAGACATTCCTGATTGAATGGTTCTACCTAATGATGAAAGCTAATTGAAACTTAATATGATATAAAATTTTTATGTTTTCAGAGATGATGGCACCATTGAACATGCAGCAGTTACTCAATTTGAACCAACAGATGCTAGACGTTGTTTCCCATGTTGGGACGAACCAGCACTCAAAGCTACATTTGATATTGCTCTAAAAGTACCAATTGGTCTTACAGCACTTTCCAATATGGTAAGCAGCGCTCAGCATCTGAAATATTTTCTCTCTCTCTCTCTCTCTCTCTCTTTCTCTCTCGTTTGTTTTTTTTTTTTTTTGTATTAAAAATTAGAATACACTACAATCGCGTTAAATTGTAATATATATGTAAATTAAAATTAATTCTTTTTTTACCAGTCTTGCAACATCGATCACACATCACATTTTTCTTCATTTTCAGCCGGTGAAAAACCAAGTTACGAATGACAACTACGAGTCATTGACTTTTGAGAGAACGCCAATTATGTCGACGTACTTAGTAGCAGTAGTGGTAGGCGAGTTTGATTATATAGAGGACAAGTCTAGTGATGGTGTATTAGTTCGGGTTTACGTACCCAAGTCTAAAAAGGAGCAGGGCCAGTTTGCGTTGGAGGTGGCGACCAAGGTCCTGCCCTACTATAAAACCTACTTCGGCATAGCGTATCCCCTGCCGAAGATTGATCTCATTGCGATCTCCGATTTTTCGTCCGGCGCCATGGAGAACTGGGGTTTGGTCACATATCGCGAGACCTGTCTGCTCGTGGATCCACAAAACACGTCGGCCGTACGCAAACAGTGGATTGCGTTGATAGTAGCGCACGAGCTGGCGCATCAGTGGTTTGGTAATCTCGTCACAATGGAGTGGTGGACGCATCTGTGGCTGAACGAAGGCTACGCATCGTTCGTCGAGTTCCTCTGCGTTGCACATCTCTTCCCGGAATATGACATCTGGACGCAATTTGTAACAGACACGCATATCCGAGCGCTGGAACTGGATGCTCTGAAGAACAGCCATCCTATCGAAGTGCCAGTTGGTCATCCGTCAGAAATCGATGAAATCTTCGACGACATATCATATCACAAGGGAGCCTCCGTGATTCGCATGTTGCACGCGTACATAGGTGACGGTGACTTCAGAAAGGGCATGAATCTGTACCTGAAGCGACACAGCTACGCCAATGCGGAAACTGAGGATCTCTGGGCTGCATTGGAGGAGGCCAGTAATAAAGCTGTACGTAACGTTATGTCGTCGTGGACCAAGCGACAGGGCTTTCCCATTGTCAAAGTCGATTATGTCCAAGAAGGTGATAACAGAGTTCTGACACTGTCTCAGTGTAGATTCTTAGCCGATGGCTCGGTAGACACCACAGAAGACGTATGGATTATACCGATAAGCTTCAGCTCTGCGAAAGATCCGAATAAGACGATATTCAGCAGCATACTAGACGCTAAAACGAGGAAGTACTTAATCGAGGATATTCCTGAGGACGCCTGGCTGAAGGTCAATCCCGGCACTGTCGGCTTCTACCGAACTCGTTACAGTCACTCCGCTTTGTCGCTTCTTTTGCCGGCGATCAAGGATCATACATTGCCTCCTTTGGATAGATTGGGTCTACTGGATGACCTATTTGCCATAGTACAAGCCGGCCATGCGTCCACCGTGGAAGTTCTCGAACTCATGCAAGCGTTTCAACGTGAAGATAACTTCACGGTATGGTCTAGCATAGTGAACACTCTAAGCAAAATCGGCGTCTTGATTTCGCACTTGGAATTCGAGGACTCCTTCAAGGCATTCGGACGCAACCTATTTCGCGATATTAACAATAGGTTAGGATGGGATCCGAAGCTGAATGAGAGCCACTTAGATACGTTGCTCCGATCCCTCGTATTAGGTCGTATGGCGGCTTTGAATGATCAGGACACTATTCAAGAGGCGAAGAGGAGGTTTGAACTCCACGTGAACGGCACAACAACGCTCGCTGCTGATCTGCGCAGTCCAGTTTATCGCGCCGTGCTTTCTGTGGGCGATGCCGATACTTATGATACTATGGTAAAGCTGTACAAGGAATCTGATCTTCACGAAGAGAAGGACAGGATCTTGAGAGCGCTGGGCGCGATCAAGGATGAAGCCTTGCTATTCAAGGTCTTGGACTTCGCCATGAGCGATGAGGTGCGCGCTCAAGACACGGTGTTCGCCATCATGTCCGTGGGTATGACATACAAGGGACGCCTGTTAGCATGGAACTTCTTCAAGCAGAACTGGAAGACGCTGCTGGACCGTTACGAGGGTGGCTTTCTGCTGGCCAGATTGGTGAAATTCACCACGGAGAATTTCGTCACCGAGGAACTTGCCAAAGACGTGGAGAACTTCTTCGAGAGTCACCCGACCCCGGGTACCGAGAGAACGGTGCAGCAGAGCGTGGAGTCCATCAGATTGAACGCCGCGTGGCTCGCCAGAGACAAAGACTCGATCCAAAAGTATCTGACCACTCAAGTTTAGTAGACGCGATTCTTACGTCTCCCTCGTTACCATTAATCAGACATAATCGGAAACCGTGCAAAGGCGGATTTGTATTATCGCGCGCGAAGCGTCTTACTCGGTATTGCTTGAATATTGCCGAAACGGCATCAATTAGGCGACAGGGACGGTCTCGTATACCCCGTAATTATCCGGGTACGAATCATGTGTGTGCACGCTTAACGGAACTTAACGCGAATTCAACGTTGCTTTTAACACGCGGTTGAAAATTCTTTTGAGAGCGAAAACGAATGGAGGGATATACCGTTTTGTATACCTGTTATACCTCACCGACGAGTCATCTTGAAATAACACAGCATTTTACGATGTTCTGACTTTCTGACTTTTGACTGGTATTATATATTAGTCGTTTGTTATCAAGGTAGAGAGGATTTAAAGTATTCCAAATAATTCTTTGTTTTATTATTTCAAGTTGGGATATGTACGAAGATCTCCTCTCCAATTATTGTATACGTTCCAATCAATTAAAATTATTTTTTATTGTTGTTGTATATCGAAAGACTTTACTTTTTTTGTGTTCTTTTTTATTATTACATTAAAATAGGGCCCAGGTACGATTAAAAATAGAATACCAGTTAAAAGTTTATTCCGTTTACATTGTTATTTACTCGTGTATTACAATCCATTTGAGACATGTATTTTTGGTTATATCGACAGTGTTTACGATATAAAAAAAATTATAGGATTTACTGTACGGAAGAGAATTTCCTGTACATGCGATTGCAAAAACATATACGATCCGAATTTAAAGTCCGAATGGATAAGTGTTTTAAAACGGGAAGTAAGCAATTTCTTTTCCAGCGCGTCCGATCGACGCACATAACGCGACTTATTTCGTCTTATGGAATAATGAGACTTAAGAAAGAATCGTTTTTTGGAGAGTGCATAATTAAGGGCTTGCGAGTTGGTGTTGAGTAGTGACCATCACCTCTCTGACGATTGGACAGAAGTGTCTTAGGCACTTCTCAGTTAACATGAATATCAACTTTAAAAATTTTAGAAAGTTTATTCTGTTTTTAAAATATGAAGAACGCCGAGAAAGAGACTTACTAAATTTTTATAAACGACGTAAAAATGTCAACAAAATTTTCCTGATTGTCTTTATGTATCTGTTGAACATATTCCTGATTTGTTGAGAATTCTTTTAAGCATTTCTCAGATGTTTTGGATTTTTGTGTTATTTGAGTTGTCATATTATCACTGATAATAAACAATGTGCATTATTTTCACCTCGTCATCAGTGATACCTCATAAACGACTTCATCCACAGATCAGCACCAGCTTCCGAGTCCTGTACATAACTTATTATTATGTATTAACCATTAATATGTACAAATTACAATCTATAATGTAGACAATGAGATTGTTTATTTGATATAGTGGGGTGTTAAACGCAGTACACGTGCCATAATTATTTCCAATCGGCCATCGTCCCTCCGCTTGTACTAGAAGAAAGTAACCACTTCCGACTGTGTCATCGTAAATTGAGGACCTGAAGACCTTTAATTTAGGTGTCTTTTCTCGGTATAGGTTTTCACGATACATCCGTCCTGTCATCGATCTTCTCCCCATCTTGATAGTTTCTTGTAACTGTATATTCTTTTGGTGCCTTTCTACCTTTACGTTCTGTATTACATTGGTCATTTGCGAATATTGATTTTGCAATTTGCTCAAATCGTTGAATTTTAAAATTGTATTGACGATAATACAATGGTGGTTGTCATTAACAAAGAAGACAGTACTGAACACTTTTTGTAAGCATACGTTTAATACATTAAAATTTGATGGTAAATATTCGCTGTACACAGTTACTCACAACCCCTTCAGTCATTAATGACTTCTTGTTGAAAGAAAAAAAAAATTGTTTTAAATAATTCCCGTACCCTCTCTAGCAGAGCTATTATATATATCAAAATACAGAATACATACGACAATGCGTTAAAGAATAAAAAAGGAAGGATAGGCATCGTTTCGTTTTATAAGAAATCGCCGCGTTATTTACCGTCGACTCTGTCACGAGTCGCGATTCTCCGTAAATCGATTCGGTGGCGGCACGTGCCGAAACGAGGAAGGAGGATGAACCCGGTAGTGAGTCAGCCTTCATTTCCATTATCAGCGTGGCGTACACCACCAGCAAGCGGTGGGTCGCCAGCGGATACTCCACCACCCTCGTGTCGAAAGCGAGCCTCTCGTTCTCTCTTCCCATCGCATCGCTACCTATTACGAGCCTCTGAAATGGCTTGAAGTCGTGGCAAAACAGGGAACCTATCTTGTTAGATGCCCCTTGATTGAAGTACATAGTACGCCTATTTATCTTGAGAATAAGTTTGAACACAAGGTCACGTTTTGAACTCCGGAAGCGGTGTTGTTCTCTAGATCACAAGTACGGGACTGAATCTTATTGCGAAGCTTTGACGACTATATGTATGGGACTTTGTGTGTTGTTGTGTTTGTTTTGTTGGGTAGATTTACATATATATTAAATTTAGATAAATTTTACATTGACTTTTTTACGTTGATTTCATGTCAGATGGAATTAGACAGAATAGAGAGATAGAATTTCCGCTTCGTTTCGTTTCTTTAAATATCAACCCCTATGAAGAGAACTATCGGTACAACAATTTCAATAGCAATAATCAGTGCAAAGCGCTATAATCATTATTGTTTTTGCTTTATAGCATTGACAGATGACTTCCTTCAAACTCTTGATATCTCACGGTATTATTACGCGGAGATACCGTTATGTGCTGCGTTCGTTCTACTTATAGCTCAATTTTTCACAGTCGTTCGCTTTTCTCCTCTCCTCTCTACAATCCGGACATATATCTATCTCGTTTCTAACAAAGAAGGGGTCTAAGAGACACTTTTAATATTTCCCATACGAAGCAGCTTCAGCTGGAATTACGATAAGGTAGAAAAGAACTGCGCATTCGGGATTTTGCAGCGTGTGCTGTTCGACGGTAACATTTTCAGATAAAGGGTTTACACACGCTGATGTTATTGATGGATGCTCTTAAAGGATTGTTCGAATCCTCTAAGGTAATAAATGCATTCACTCACTCACTCACTCACCCGACCATATCGCGAGGGGAGCGGAAAGCGAACATGAGCTACCCAAGGAAGAGGATGAGGGGAGCGAGGAGAGACAGAGAGAGAAAGAGAGGGGGGAAGAGAGAGAGCCAAGGGACACGGGGCTGGAGTCAGTTCCCGTGGGTATACCCCGGACCGAGCGTTCCCAGGAGCGCGCACGTGACCCGCGCCAGAAGACGATCAATACGGACTTTGCGAACTCCTACACCCCGCCGGAACGACGTGTCGCCCTTGTATAGTTCGCACACATCCTTCGCCGACGAGACTGATGGCGATGGCGAACGACCGGCCACCCCTCTTCGCACGTGTGCGTAGATTGTTGCGCGCACGTGCGCCTATTTAGTCTCCCTCCCGTCTCTCCCTTGCCCGCTACCCTCGTCCTTCCGTTCACGATATCGCCGAATCCTCGCGGATTTATGGCCCTCGACGGTGCAGCCGGGAGGCACAGCGACCAAGCCTGGGATCTGTATTGCTTGCTTTTCATGTTATATTTTTTTACTTTACGGACGATGGTAGTTGGATCCGATCTGTTGTCCTCAGAATTTCTGACAGCTGCGATGCCTACTGCTTCTACGATTTCTAATAATGTAGGTTCATTCAATTGCTCGATTATTGTTTAAAAAAATGATATATGATGAGTATTTATATTATATCTTGAGAAAAGTCAACTTTTACCAGGATACTTTGGAATTTGCTGAATAAAATTATAGAAACGAGCTTTGATGTATCTTGAAGAGATATTTTCCTAAACTATAAAATATCGAGAGAGTGCTTCAATTTTGATCGTGTTTTAATTTTCAACGACGATTTCCTTATTACTTAATTTCGTTGAGCAAAACGCAAGTTAGGTCGTGAATTCCGTTACTTGCAGAATTGCACACACGCGTGAACACAAGGCAGATAATAGGATACGACGCGGGATATATTGCTTCATGAAAAAGAAACAGATCCATTGATATAACTTATAGACACAGTTTGCGTTTATTTCGTGTACGTACGCGTGTGTGTTGTGTGTGTACATGTGCGAGTGTATCACGCCCGCGCAATGATGTACTTACAGCCTTTCAGTCTTTGCAAATATACAATAGTTACGCGGGCTGGGGAATTAGGGGAATTAGCCTTTCCTAAATTATAACATAAGGGGCTATAATAACGATATAATAATCATACAATAATCAAAGATACTAGCGATACGGGTAGAGCGTGAAATCTTAATAGAAAATAAGCGGGGAATCGAAAGATCAGCTGAGTAATTTCGGTGAGTTGGATTTGCCACGTCGCCGAGGAAGATTGGAGAGTTTTACGCAAGAACCACGGCCGGCATCATTGTTAAAGTATTCAAGATAAACGCGAATCTAGAGCGTGCGTTCTCCGGCATTGGGCCTCGGCTCATCGCTATTACACCTGCTTTCGATTCCTCGAAATAAATTTCTCTCGGTGCTATCTACAAATTGCTCCAACTGTCGACGACGACGGAGCGTTTTCCAAGAGAGACCGTGCAAGAAAAGGCGATCGATCGGCGACCAGTTGGGCGGGGCGCCGTAATGATTCGAGTGTAACAAACGTTTGAGATAGAGAGAGAGAAAGAGCTCTTTCCCTCCGTCTCTCGACACGGTGCATCTACGTGAAACCGCGAGAGCGGTTCAAGGTACTGATCGATGACAAACATAACGTACATATCGACGCTTTTATCGCGGGAAATTCACCTAGACGCGATCGCCACTTCAAGATCGCTCGTTGGAAAACGATCGGAAAGTCTCCGTCGTGCTGCGTTCTTCTTCTTACAGTCCATCTATATCGCAAAGAACGAAACTCTCGCGAAACAGACACGATGTTACGGTCTCACGCTGAGACATCCGATTCATGTTGGAACGGTAAGAGTCTACGGGGAGGAGCGAAAGAGTGGAACAGGAAGGGAGGTCGTGCCGGGTCTGTATAACCGGTGAAAGAGATCTCATGAGGAATGCGATGAGCCTATGTACAAGTGTATTTACAAATTCCTTTCGCGCGCTCAGGAAGAGAAACCTCGAGATCGCAGTCTCGCGCTTCCCTCTCGTCAACGTCCTGCTTCTCATCACCGTCATTTCTCTTCGGGTGCGCACACCATCGAGCGGGCTCCCGTTTCTCTCTCCCTCGGACGCGATCAATCAACACCTCCTGTCGTCGCGAGAACTCAGCGACGTCGTGGTTCCCAAGTCCGCGCGACCGGGAGTCACGCGAGCATCCTTCCTCGAGGATGATGGTCGCGAAACCCGGCAGAGTCGCGGTCAGCCTACGAGAAGGAGGGTGACCTTTTGCATGCGACCTGTGCCTCAGTGTTCGCTCCTGCCGACAGGTCACCGCTCGGCGACGGTCGCGCCGGCGGTGATGGACGTCGTCGTCGTGGCGGTCGAGGCGCTGCTGGTGGTGGTCACTGCCGCGTTCAGCAACGGTTGCAGAGGCTGCCTCGACGATTGTGTTGTCGTCTTCGTGTCCTGATGCGCGGCGTTCGTCTCCTCCAAGGCGGTCTGCAGGTCGCAGATGTACTCGATCACCCTCTGAATCACCTCCAATTTCGACAGCTTCCGTTTACGTGGCATGTCCGGCACCAGCGAACGCAACTTCGTCAGGTACGCGGCTACCTCCTCGGCCTCCAGGTCGCGTCGTGTACCGCCGATCCCCAGGCCGTTATGCAGAACTCCGCGATTGGGCGGCACTCGGCCACCCACCGGACTCACCACCATTGCCTTCATCACGACTACCTCACCGGAGTCAGTTAGCAGCCGAGTCGATCAATTCGGTCGGCTCTTCTCCGTGTGTATGTCTCTTTTTCTCTCTTTCTCTTCTCGCGACAGCTTCCCGATGAGTCTCGCGTGAGAGAGCACACGCTGCGTGATTGCTCGACGGACGACAAGTCCGCGCGCGCACACACACACACACAACACACCACACACACGCACGCACGCACGCACGTATCCGGTGTGTGTCCTATCGATCGTAAAAGCTGCCGATGTCAGCGTTTATTAGAGAGATGGGCAGAGAAGAAGCGGGTGAGGTAGCAGGTGAGGATGCATACGAGCGCGAAGAACGGATGCACAAAATCCCTCTCCTCTCTGTAGATTGAACGTGGTTGTGTAGGTGAGTATATCGTCAGTCCCTTCTTGATTCGATAATACCGAGCAGACGAAATCACGTGCGTCACACACAAGTACTCGATAAGCGTGTATCACGAGCTCGTCGCACTAACTAGTTGCATCCTCAGCCAGAAGGTACATCCGTGTGCGTCGACAACTGGTCGATCACTGCGTGGCGAGAGGTGCGAGAACGTAGCGTGGATTGACTGCAAGACTAACCAACACACCATAAACGATCGCTTGACGGATCGAAGCCGACTGGCCTCCGCCCCTCACCTGCGACCTTTTATAGCTTTCCCCTGTCCCTCTCCTCGCGTATCCCCGAGACGCTCCCACCATTCGTACAGCGCAATCGCTGCCTGAGTGGAGTAGCGACGGCCTCGAGCGTCGCGCGAGCTTGTTCACGGCGACCCATTTTCTCTCTCCTCGCCATTGATACGCGATCGTATAAAATTCGTTGTTTTTTTCCATTTCTAATATAAGCAGCGCTCTCGACAACACGAGTTCTATTTTCTTTCGAAAAACTTGTACGTGCGTCATTCATATATATTATCGGATAGCAGACCAAAGAAGCTGTTTATCGTTCTTTATCATTGATTTCATGTAGAGGAATATGAAAATATAAACATAAAAGAGAATCAAAAGAAACACGGAATATAAATCAAGAATTTACGAGACATGCAAGTTGAATTTTGCATAATAAATAAATGTAGTTTGGCATAATAAATGAATGTAGTTTGGCTTATTTGCAAATGCAAATGCATTTTTCATGAGTTATTGTAAAAAATAACAAGATTTATCTTGTATACTGGTACAGACTCGAGACCAAAATAATAATCGCGATTAAAGTAAAATCGTCATGATCATCCAATGAGAATCATAAGCGAGAAACAAAAAATGTAATTAAAACAGAATACAATTGGCGGTAGTTATGCGAGAATGCTCCAACTTGAAGTACGTTCGAGGAAAAATGAAGATGAAAATTTTATTTATGATTTAGAAAGTGTAAATAGCACTTAAGTTCTTCGCAATCGTTCAAGAAGTTAAGCATGATCAATTTTCTTCTTTTTAAAGGTATTCATTGACAAGTTTGGCCCTTAAAAAAGATACAATTAGTGAAAAAAATGACACAAAAATATTAAAAAATAAAAATTGTTTTTAATTAATTTTAGGCGCTCATAAAGCTTGAATCTCTTTTGTTTTATGTGAAAAGACGTGTGGACTACTCATTAGTGACTAAAACAACCATCATAATTTTGGGGGTTGGAACATTCTTGCATAACTGCGGCTAATTATCATTCAAAGCGAGATCGACCCGGAAGACACCGCAGAGTCGCGTGCGAACAAATTGCAGTAGCGAGGTCCCGTTCGAAGCTGTCAGTAGTCGGGGGTGTTTGACGACTATGCGACTGGCGGCGTCGGTGGAACACGAAGGGAGTGTAAAGGGAGGAGGGCAAGGGGAAAGCAACCATTGTTGAACGTCCGGCGGCGCCAGCCACTAGCCATCACGGCTACCACTACATAGACATCGTCACTAACACCGTAACACAGACCGACCACCATCGTCCGAGGTTTGCGCTCGATGTACGGCGATCGTTCGCTAACCTGTGCACCATGATTCCGGCTGCAATTTTCTGCAGCGGCGAAGTCGCGCGGTACGCTGCGCGAATAAATCCGCGCGCGAGCCCGCGCTTGTTTACGGATGGCTCAGAGAGACCGCAATTACATCGGAACACGACTGTAAGTTTGTAAATGCGTCCATTTCGGAGTGTGGGATACGCTTTATACGGATGCAGGAACCTCACGGTAAATTGTTCTGTGATAAACCATTGTTGCGACAACGTGTTCGCTGCATGTTACAAAGGAGAGAACAATTGTCGGACAAGCGAGAGAGAGAGAGAGAGAGAGAGAGAGAGAGAGAGAGAGAGAGAGAGAGAGAGAAAGCTGTTTCGCGGCTGCACTTTTGATCGATAAAAAAATAGTCAAATTTTCACGGACAGTAGAGAATTGTAAGTATCATTGGCAGTGGAAAATTGCCGTGGTTTATCCGAGTTGTTTACCTCGTTCATAGCCGATTTTAAGCTGAGAGACAGTTCCTGTTCCGCGCTATTAGATGAATATGGATTTCTTTCTTTCCTTCTTTCGCGAGTTTCTCGCGAATTTATCGAATAAGAATATAGTGGAACGTTTTTATACGGCTTTACACTATTATTATCAATAATGTCTTTGGTGTTTCCCGAAGAATATCGATTTTGGAGAACTTATAAATCGTTCCTTCACAAATATGTAATTTTGTTCGTGATAACTTTCGCATAGCTGCGAATCAATTGTCAAATATGCCACGTGTTCACGTCGCTGTCCTCAATTACTATTTCACAGGTTCGTTTTCTCAAACGCAGAAATGTCTGTCCTTTGCATTGCCGACTTCACCACCACCTGACAGCTTTGCAAGGCCATCCTGCACTATTCGATCGTTGTATTCCAATCATTGTGCGGAAATAATGCCAGACTGCTGATCCTTCTTCGTAAGAAATATCTGCATTTGAGGGAACAATGTCGTCGTTCTGATTGTACCGTACTTTTTACAACCATCGTATTCTGCACCTTGCCGGACCCTTGCGTTTGTTTGCGCGTTTGCACATTTGCGGAGTCCGGCTAGGACAAGAACCCAACCGATGTCACGAGTTAAAAAGAAAGAAAGGGAGGAGACAAGAAAAGAAGACGGAAAAAAGGAGGTGAGTCGATAGGAGAGGAGAGAGCTGGCCGGAATAGCGGCGATACGCTTCGCAGAATTTCCAGGCGACGCTCCGGCACGCTCTCGTCCATGGAAACGTGCGGCCTATGAAATAATTGAGGGCAGCGGGGTAGACCCGCGGAATCATTGACAACAGCGTTCGCGGTGCTTCTCGCGCGGCATCCTCGCCGCAGCTGCGCTTTCGCGCGCAGCGAAGCCACGTACGACGAACTTCGCGAGCCTCATCGACGATCGTGTGCGTCAGCGGTGCGATAAGTCGACCCTCTCGTCGCGCGCGCCGCCAGAAATAAACCACTCTATATTTGTAAAACAGTTACAATTACAATTGCGAGATGTCGAGTTGCAATGTAGCGCCGCTGGATTTGCGACCGGCGTTTTGCCGTTCCGCGAACGTTAAGTCGACTAATGGACTGAAACTGCGTGGTTCCGCATAAGTCAGAATGACAACGGACTGTGTCGCACGTTCCGCTCAGCAGGTTGCTGGCACTCTGTAGAAAGTTCATTTCTGTCGCAAAACACGAAGACGTGTGACCAGTCGCAAATTCAAAATTGCGACAATCTCGCGATTCCCGCGTTTCCGAGGAAAATTATATTCTCTCTGTATTGATCGAAAAAATATCAAGAAAAGAAAATACACTTATTCGATGGGTGGTGATGATAACATATTTACCTGTATTAATGTGAAATATTTTCCAAGTAGGAAAATATACATTTTCTTAAAACCTTAGTTTCTCATGGAAACAATTGTTTATCTCATCTATAAATAAAAGAATTTAGATTTAGATAAATATGAGTATATTGTATAAAAATATTTGTCATCTCTCTCTCAGATAGTTTTCTCTTCCAGTGTGTGACAACTCCGTTTCCATCTGTCACCTTTTCCTCTTTTTACGTTATTTTCGATAGCGATTTTCGAGCTTTTTCCCCTCTAAGGTAAATACATTTCACCTCAAAGGCGACAAATACAAGGAAATGCGGCCGAAAGAAACGGACACGAGTGTTCTTGTCTCGTAGCGGACACGGTCTTTCAATTGCGTTCTGGTTTGCGCAAGTCTTTTATAGACGACAGCGGGGTCAAAGTAAGCGGAAAACGTGACGTTTATCGCTTCCTCAATCCACTCGATACGAGCCACTTCAAAGAAAATCTATCGGACGAAACAAACTATCTCACAGAAAGTACGCCGACTTATTTGTCCAATATCGCGCGTGGCTGAAGTGTTGCGCGGCGCGAGATACTGGTTATTCCACCAAATACAAGACATACTTTCTTGCGTTCGATAAAATACATGCATCATTCTTTTTAGTGCTGTCGACCACCCGGGTACTCGTCTTTCGAGTTTCACCCGAATACCTGCGCGAGTACCCGTACATTTCGGGTGTTACACGAATACATTAACTTGATGCAGCTTTATGTCACGTCCGTGCGCCTTCTACGAATCAGTAACTTGCGACTAAAGTTATTTTAATGAATACATGAAATAATTTGACAGCTCCAGGTTATAGACTTTATAACAATAAAGAACAAATTTGTTAACAAATAACGAACGAATGCATTGGCATACTCGTAACTATTTACTATCTGATTGCTCGGGTAATAGCCGCAGAGAGTGTGGGTGTACTCGGAAATACCCGAGTTACATTGACTAGTTCTTTTTACGTCGATATACCATCGATAATCGTGTCAATCGTTGCGCCGGTTATCGGTGACTGGCGCTATGAAAAAACTGGTGCGACGCGTCCTTCATTAATTTATTTATAATGCATAACTAATCGCATAGACGCGAACCAGCCAATGGCGAGTCGATGACATGAGATAGAAAGGTAAAAAAAAAACCTATGTACACGCATCGGGAACTGCGTTATTTACGGTACTTGGATTACTTGCCGGCTTCGGCCGTGCTGTCGAACGATCAATGGAGGTCAGTCGCAAGTGTCAACGGAGATCAATCGCGACGTCGATGGAAAGATCGTCGACGTGTTCGCTGGGTCGAAAAAGGATCGCCATTCGCGCGCATTATCGCGCGACGATCGTTATTCGGGACGGCGCGAGACGACGGCGGTGACACGTTTCAACGCATAATTTCGCAATGATCGTCGACAAGGTGTTCCGTGGCGTGACCTCGACGAGAGAGGAGGATCCCGTGGAAAATTACCGGGAATAAAGCCGAACGAAACGCCCGTGAGAGAAAGAGAGAGAGACTCCGAGCACTTGCGCGGTTACATACCTGAGCAACCGGATCTCATTGACTCCTTGACCCTCGTGTTTAAGAAGTGGAGTTCCCTTGACCCGGGAATAAATAAACTGAGGAAACCACCGCGGCTACGCTCTATCGCCGTTGCGCGGCGATAGAGAGTTTACTGATACTTTTCATTGAGATCCCCGCGAGCCGGCACGGTGTGAGTTACGGCTTCAGCTGTGCTGCCGCGCTAAGACCGCTCAATTAGCGTCAGAAATGTTAATTATCCGCGCGAGTGATTAACTCAATTCGCCGAGACTGCGCCACGGAGACTCCCCAAATCTTTGTCGTGCACGTCCTCGAGATCTTTTTGTCTTTGATAGCGACAGTTCACAGTCCGCTTTAGTTTCACAGGAATCGAAAATTAGCAATTTCAGCGCGATTGCCGAATTTTTTAATTACGTGAATATATGCGCAAGAAATCCAATATGTGAGAATCCATGCGCGATGTGGAGTTGCCGAAATCGTACCAGTCTCCTACATTTTTTTTCTAATGATTTTAGCACGCACGAAATAAGATATCTGAAATTTTTTAATTATATTGCTCATTTATTTCTCATTTTAGATGTATCGTTCATATCCAAAAATAATAAAGAAATTGATGAGGTACAATTTCGGCAACTCTCCCCTGAGTCGCATTGATTTCCACACAATTTTCGAAATAAACCCATCACCTAAAATTTCTGGCCCAATCTTTTTCACTCACCGAAACACTGCGAATTTGGAGCCTCCGGATGCGTTCTCCTGCATCCAACTCTGCAACAACAAAAATTTCGCTGGTTAGATTTGAGAATTTGAGTTTGAAGAACAGATATCACGCTGAAAAAAGAATCCTGTTGTCGAAATGAAAATTTGGCACACCGGGTCGTAATTTGGTTGAAATGGAACCAAACGTTTAGTAATTGCAAACAATTAATTGGGGCTATGTGTACCTTGCTTTCTCAATAATACTTGACACAAATGAAAGACATGCAATGCCAACCAAATCGTATGTACCAAATATTTTAGTTCCGAATACATGTTTTCAGTATAGTGAGTGGATTAGCTCTGTGTGGCCGTAATTCGGCGATACATTTTGGCGACTGTATCGCAGCTTTCGACCGCAAGGAGTTAAGTTGGAGGAATAACACTTACCCTCGAATTGAGCCTGCTCGGCTCGAACTGGATCCTTCGACACCGCATCCGTATCCATCGGTGATGCAACTGCATCCGTGATACGGCCGTAAACTCCGCTAGATCTGAAACAAAAAATGATTTCTCTAATTAGTTATTATAAAGAGGCCGCTCGGTCTCGACAAATCGAGAATCGAGAAGTGTACGGCGCGCAAGTGTCACGAGCTACGAGACTATATATGTTTTTTATAAATCTGATAACATTAATACGGTACGGTAGTTACCCTGTAAAATTTAGAACACTGCCACTCTGTCGTTCACGATAATCACAACACGACACAATCACGCACAAAGTACCGTGATTCGGCTCGCAGCTCACGTCTGCTTAATTTTGAATAATCGGGAATAGAGCGCGATGTGGCCTGACACGTACACTTTCGCTTCAAATGTTGTTATGATCGCGATTGCTTTGCGAACCTACGTGCGTTGTTCTGCCGAGGGCGCACGACCTTCGACGCTCTGTGTCACGCTTGGGCGAACCGTCACGTGACTATTTTTTTTTATTATTTAGCGCATGTACACGGAAAAACAATTCTGTTAATGTAAATGAATTTTCCTTTGTCCGGTAAGAACATGTACCAAATAAAAAACTTGGTTGTAAGAAGACTTCTATAGAAGGTTTCTATGCTGTAAGAGAAAAAATATCTAAAGTATAAAGAATACTTTTTTATCCGATGGGTATTAGTGACATTTACTTAGGTCTAAATTCTTTTACTTAAGTATAATAAAGAATTGCTTTCGTGAAAAGCTAAGGTCTTAAGAAAATATATACTCTCTTATCTGAAAAATATTTTATACTAGGATTCAAGTATGTTATCAATATTCACCGAATAAATATTTCTTATTTCTTAGATATTTTTTCTTTCAGTGTACTGAATCAATGTTGTTCATAATTATTGCAACCAAGTTTTAACACGGAATAAATGTTCAGATAAATGCCTTCGGTAACGGAGATACACTATGTTTCATTGCGGAATTTTCATCTAGTCCCTGTTCAATTACACGAATTGAACTTTTTTTCCGCGTAATATACCGCGCAATATTACCGTTCTATGTTGCAATATGATATTTCGTTATTTAAACTCATCCTAATTAAGCTTCATATATCCTTATGGTCGTTGTGCAACTGCTGATTAAGATCTAATCGTTACAATATAATAATTGTAATGTAATTTGAATGTCATAAAGATTGTTATAAGAGTTATTAAGTAGATCTCTCTCTCTCTCTCTCTCTCTCTCTCTCTCTCTCTCTCTCTCTCTCTCTCT